ATCACAAGGAATTGCAACCAAATACACCATCCGAAGGCAATACAATAATCAACCTGCAGCGCCAAGGTATGCCACCATATGTACCATACTCTCATTGGATCCTGAAATTGGCATCATAAGAGATATCCACCTTCTCTCTGTAGGCAAGGAAATCAATAGCCGCACTTGGATGGAGGCCGTGCGCACAGCGGATGCATTTTCAAATTGGCCTTGCCATCGCATCTTGAGTCACACTGTTTCCGGGCCAAAATTCCCCAGGAGAGCACAGTACTATACAATGACATTCCTTGACGTGCAGCCTTGATAATAAGAGTATCGCCGAAAGAGGCTCTGCCACTGTATGGTGTTTGGTAAGTCCACTTGAATCCAACCAATCCCATCATAATGAACATCTTACCTTGTGGTATTTCTCAATAGCATTCCATTGATGCTTGTAAGTAACCTTGTATCCATCCGATCCAGTATGTGCTGCTGCTGTTTCACTGTAAGGTTCGTTAATTAACAGGTTTCGCTTTGTAGATCCAATACCATACAAACCATTGAGCCAACCATACAGCGTTCTTGCTTTGATATCAATGTCTTGTTGCTGCCAGAGGTACCATCATCCAACATGTTCAACCTACCATAAACGCAATGTGAGATAACAAGTAAAACCAACCCACACGCTTTTGTTGTCACCATACCCAAAAGAGGCAATGTAAAGACGTCTTGAGAACTCTCATTGTGGACAACTCGGTAAGGAATGCACACGACACCTCATTGGGTCTTGTATAGACGAGACAACACCAACCTACACGCGAACTTTAGTACCACAATGTTCGACTTGAACAATAAAAGGAATTGCAGCGATTGAACTTACATGTTGTATTGGAATGGAAGCTTGTGTCATGGGTAGATCGCACACGTGCTTGTTGTAACTGAATGTGTCGCCATTGACCACCTGTTCACCCATTGACGGTGTGCATTGTTGGCAATGCCAGAAGTTAGTGGTGTGGAGAGTGTAAATGGAGTTGGTCTTACCTTGCATCGTTGTGAAGCGGGAGTGGGAGAAGGTCGTTCTTTTCATTGTTCCTGATTTGTGCCCACCACGCCGCCCCGCTTGTTACAGTGTGTGCCTTAACGATATCCTTTACACTTGGGTCAATAACGACAATGCGAGGTTTTATTAGTCATCGAACAAGCTCCTCATGACTTACTGTGAGGGTAATTGGCGTCTATTATGTCTATGCTCATCAATTCGTTTATGCAGCTGGACCTCCTAAACTTGTACAACCAACACTAGGTGCGCGTTCACTCCCTTCGCTCGCCATATAAAAGAACGTGATCTTGCAGGCTTCCTTTTAGATGTCAAAGAGATACGGGACTTCATCAAATAGCCTCTTGCCAAGTGAATGGTAAACATGCTTGCCTGCGTATTGTGATCGTTATCGCCATTGCGATGAATATCGTGATCGTCGTCAGCCTTGTAGAAGTCGTCATCATCGTCCCTACAATAAAAGAAAGCGAATCTGCAGGAATCACACAACCAAATCACCATCCATGCCAGGGACCCATACGAATCGCTCTTATTCATCCTCTCCAACAAAGAAAGAAGGATCCCCCCTCGTCATAATCGTCAATGAGTAACCACCTACATACGCCACGAGAAGAGTGTCAAATGACTAAAAGGTACAGGCTGGGAGTCGAACCCAAGGAGAGATGATGCCCAAAGCTGCATTACCTGACCATGAACCTATTCCATAATATGATCATCCATTATTACATTATACGCCTTGTCCATTGCCATTGTCCACTGCACTTGTTGCCTCTGACATGTATAAAGACTGCTGGAAACCGAAAACTGTGGTGTAGTGTAGTCGAATCGAAACAAAAAGCCGAATGAGCCCACGTTTTGAAACCGATCTTGGCGTCTATACAAGAAGCGCGTCAATGGAACAAGTTCTTCGGCGACATTGGGGCTTTGAATGTACCTGTTGCACCAAGCATGGAGCGGCATAACAACGAACAAGAAGAGCGACGACATCACCTTGGATACAGCACTTGAACACTCCCTGCCTAGGAATCAGCACTATTCGAATACCTCACTACCAACAAGAGCATTACCTTGACGGGATTGGGTGTCGTGAATGGGGGTGAAAACGAGAAGGAGAGGGAGAAGCGTCTGCCTCAAGTGCGTGGAGTTGCTGGTGACCAAATTAAAATGCCCACTGGGTGTGAGGACTTTTTCATCATGTGGATCTGGTGTTGCGGGTTGATCGACAACTTCTCATGCACAAAGCCCATCATTTGGAACAAGCTGTGCAGGATTCAATCAAATGCCATTCTCCTGATATCCAACAAGTGATGATCTACCTTGAGACGAAAGATAACAATCATACCAGCACCAACAACAACATCTCTCCACTTGCTCCTTCGTCATCACAGCATCACATAAACAAAAGGTATAGAAGCGATTTAATTTCAAATACTATGATATAGTCCATAGAGGATAAAGTTATTATCTACAATAAGAATAGGGCCAGCCAATTGTGAATACAGTGAATGGAAGGAGGGGTATAATATTAAAGTAACAATGGTGATGGGAGTTTATCCAAGCTTTCTTGTAATTCTTTGCGAGTATCTTCCCATTGTTCATGTAATGTCCTTAGCTCCTTTGGGTCAAGATGTCGAGAAAGGATTTGGTAATGATGTACCCATGCATCCAAAGCCTCTTTAGCTGCCATCAAATCACCTTCATAGTAGACGGATCCCTGAGACTCAGTTGCGTAGAGCAGCTAATGCACACAACGTGAGCTGGTTATTCCCTTTATGTATGTGTGTTGGTGACTCACCTCTTCTTGCACTGTGTGATATAGATGATGAAATTGAAGAAGCATCTCTCTTTTACGACGTTCTTGCTGCTCTATCGAAGGCCGGCGACGTATCTTGTCGAACCAGCGACGAGGAGGTGTCAGCGTACTATTGGGTTTTTGAATGGTGGTGGTGGCGTTATGAAGCGAAGTGGCGTTGGGTGTTGGTGAATAGTGGCAGTGGCAAACACAACAATCGCGAGCGGTGTATGACATGAGTTGATAGTTATACGAGGAGAGAAAAGAAGAGTGAGCAAGCTGCCAGCTCTTCCCAAAATGCGGGTTGCCTTTTTAAAGAATCGATCTTCCGTGTCACAAAAAGTGCCTTGATGGCTAGCCCATTGTAATTGCCCATGTGAATCAATTCTACCACCACCAGCAGTAGCCCCTGAAGAAGCAACCCATCCATGACGATCTATAGGCACAGGTTGGGAAAAAGGAGTGGATGAAAATGAGAGTGAGTGATGGAAAGGAATCCAGGGGTGCAATGTGTGTGATACTGGGGCACCAGACTAAGCAATTAAAGGGATGACATGGCTTGTGCACGCATTGCATGATGTTCCTGAATTGGAAATCTGTAGGACGGGCATGACATTTGTTTCAGGAAATTGCTTGATTGCTGGCTGCTGCATTGTTGTCATCTTGGCTCTTCCCCTTTCCATTTTTCCCCTATCGCGGACCTGTGTTTGGGTTATCCGAAAATATTTCAATATTGACAGAATCCATCCTAGCGGTGTAAATGGTCTCGCCTATTACAACAACAAACTGGCTTGCTGGTACTGGTTCAACCTTATAGCTAGTGTGCACGCGCTTATAATGTAGGTCATCGGAATTATTTGGTGAGTCATGTACCTATAGCTTAAAATGCAATCAATCATACTACTATGCATGGCATACATCTAAATTATCTCCCTGAAGAAGCACCAGTGATACCAATCCATTAGATCAATGCGTGCGTTATTATTAGCGCATTGCTGATATGATGCTCGTTAGGCGAAATATTATATATAGAGGAAGGAGAAATAGAAATAGGTAATGTTTGAATCACATTCCTTAAAGATATCAATCCCATTGTCGTTGGATACAATCTACCTTAAGCCCCATTGGCAGAAACAATCATAATACATGATAGCGGATCTATGGTGAATGGTTGCTTTTTCTATTCTCAGATGCCACCCCCTTACCCCTTCTAATCCATGACTCCAATCACCTGCACATAAGAACAATGGGAATCAAAGAGGAAGTTGTCATTGTTTTTTCTTAAGCTGTTGAATGAATGAGCCTTGCTTGGCTACTACCACAAGACCTAACTAGCCACAAGATTCGAACTATGATACTCTTCCCTCATCCTGCGTCATGCCAATGCCTATAAATATGATCAAAGCTTGTAAGGCATTGTTAAAAATGGATGCTGCTTTATAGTTCAGCTGACGGGCTACCTACCCAAAATCACTTTATGCATGTAACCGATTCCCTGGTTCATCACCATTAGCAGAAGGTCTCTTTGGTTGGCGGCTATATGTATCCATGATAAGTAATGGCCTGGATTGCGAGCAATTAAATATGTGCGACAACAAAAATAAGGTTGAGAGATGCCAAATTATTGCTACGCAACGTTACAAGCATTTAACAAATCGTACCCAGTGGCACAAGCCATGTACTTTGATTTTGCTCAACCAGATGGCTAACTTGTCCAAGAAGCCAAAACATTTTCCCTCTTCTGGTTGTTTTCCTTTAGCACAAACCGCCAATCTCGAAATCGGGATGCAAGAAATTTTAGTTGCTTGGATTGGTATGGCGTACTTGGCTTGCAGATAACTCGTATATCTTTCAAACGTCTATCTTGGTGATGGCTCACCGAGCATACTGGCATTAGGCGATAACTCTTGCATTGCACATTACTACCCAAATTGCCGGAATACCATTGACTAAGGATTCAAGGATACCCACATGCACACATCCTTCGGCCTTGACACAGGGAACACAATCGGGAAGTTCATTGGTAAGACAAAGAGAACGGCCCGCACAGCCTTTGCCAGCACCCTTAAATGCTCAATAGGATGAAGCTGCTACAGCAAGATGTATGCATTGATTGGTGTAATAGATGCAGCAAAGTAAAGGATAAGATGTCATGCTCCCATTAGCAATTAACATGAAGAGTAAATACATACCTTGGTATTGGAGTTGAAGTTGTATCATGTACCTGTGTAACATTGTCATGGTGACCCACGCATGCATACAAGTGTACCAGTTTTACGATGAACGAAATGCTGGTATACGCACATAAAAAGTGCACACCATTGATATAACGGCACTGAGTTTCTTTTTCTCCCGGCGTTTCCCAACTTTGTTATCTCTTCTCTATATAAAAGCAAGCTGCAGCCATGATCCATGTTTTTCGATTTCTCAAGAAACGACCTTCCAAAAAGCGTACCACTAAAGAATCCCGCAACATGACTGCTTCAACCTGTGATGCACAGACCCCATCAACATCCGAGATAACGACCAAGGGATCAGAAGATAGCTCCATTCGCCATCGCACTGATAGTAACGGCCGCCGCTTTCGTGATGATGTCGCCTATGTTTTGCCTGTTGATGATACCGGTATATATTAAAGGTATATAAGTGATGGCCTTGTTGTCCTAATCCAATGACGTTATCAGAGATGGATCGTGTGCACCAACAACACTGGATGTTGAAAGTGTTATTTGACGGCAACTTTAAGGCACCCGTAGAATCTGCACTTGAAGAGGGCATGCAGGTTTTGGATTCTGGTTGTGGTAAATCGCTCACTGTTGAATCCTACCAGCTTTCCCCTCTAACTTATTCAATCCCATATTATAGGACCTGCCACTTGGACTCTCGAGTTGGCCAACACGTATCCGAAATCTACTTTCCATGGCACCGATATCTCTTCTAATTTCCCAAAAACCATCAAGCCCGCCAACTGCAACTTTTACGTCCACAACATAACCGAACGCTCTGAATTCCAAGGCAACTACTTTGGGTTCATTCATCAGCGCCTCCTTGTAGCTGGTCTTTTGGTTGATGATTGGGAAAAGGTTACACTGTAACAAGCAGGCGTTGAAAAGCCCCATTCCTTACATGTGTTACATTTACATAGGTGTTACAAGAACATTGGCGTACGCTTGCACCCGGTGGCTGGATCGAGTTGATGGAGGTTGGTGCTATAATATGGGCAAATTTTGTATGGGTTGCTTAAATGGATGCTTAGTTACCGGTTGCAAAGACCGTCAACATTGGTCCAAAGCTCGCAGCATTATTCAACATTTGTAAGAACGACAACTAAAGGTGGATGAAATAGAATCACTAATGCTTTTTTCTCATCATTGTAGTCGTTGAAATGTGTAAAGCAAAAGGGCTACATTGGCAGATCACCAACCATCTCGAAGGAATGCTTGAGCGTCTTGGATTCGTCAATATCAAGGTTCAAGAAGTAGAGCTACCGATCAATCACGAGAGCACCGTTAGCAAGCTTGCATGGTAAGCACCCATGAACGCTATTCATTTAAAGGCTTGCTGAGATTAACTATGCATTCGTTATAGGGAGGACATGTTGGATTTATACAAGGCCATCAAGCCGGTCATTGTTAAGAGCATGCCCGAGCTAGCAGATGATGAACGCTATCTTGAATACCTGGAGGCGTGTGGAGAAGAGTGCAACAAGAATAAGATGTTCGGTTACTTTTATCGCATTTGGGGTCAGAAACCACCCACGGCATAGAGAAAATAAAAAAATCCAAAACAAGCATACAACGATGCCCAGCACCGAATGTTGGTATATAGACCTATTAGAAAAGCATCTCAATCTTATTGCAGCATGCTTCACGATTCAACCATATCCACCCAGCTGCGAATCCTGGAAGTAACATAGTAGCAGTGGCTGCTGGTTACATTAAAAATCATGCAAACATTTGTGTCACAAACATATCAAAGTGGGCAACTTTATTAGATCGCTGAAGTTTATATTAGAAAACGTATAATAGGCGGTATATTAACATCTCGTGCCTTCCATAATGACAAATTCTATGCTCATTCATTGATGTCCAAAGGCTTTTGGCCGATACAGCGATACCATTGGAGGCTGGTCTTGGACTCACGGCATTCTTCTTTGCATTCAAGCAAGAAGCTTTTGAAAAAATCGGCGTCTCCCATCTCAGGATGGACCTGAGCGATCAAAGCTTGCATGGCGTAGAAAGCTTCATAAAAGTCCTCCCTGCGTTGGATATAAACAAAGGACCAATTACTATTGTGCTCTATACAAACGCCCAAAAGAAAGATACTCACCAGCAAATGTCACCAATCTCTCCACCATGGTTGATAGGTGTTGTTGCCATTCGCAAGCTAATGTTCACGGCTCCAGCTTTCTTGAGACGCTCCTCCAATTGAAAAGGGATCTCCATATTGAGCCCCTTATCACCTCCAACCTTTTCCACTAATATAGTGAACGACACATGTTAGGCAAAAGCAATGAGCGATTACATAATAAAAACATCGACTAACCTGCATGCATAAGCTTAGTAGCCTTGGGACCACCGTTTTCCAAAACCCTGAAGGTCACCTATAATAGAGATCCTTGAATTCCCAAAGCCATAGATGATATGGTCACCATTTGTCACCCTCATACCTCAACAAGTTCTATCCATCCACCAGGCTTGAGCATTTTCATGTGTTGTGCAATCACCTATATTTCATGCTTTGTTCAAAAACACGCGATACATGTTATGTACTATTGCAATGCTTACCTTGTCCCAGTTAGCTTCCAGTAAGCCTAAAACAAGCAAACGCTGATGGATGTAATCCAAATGGTTATCAGGGAATGGCTTTTCTTCTACGAGATTTTTGGTGTGGAAGTGGCAGTTGGAAGGTGGAGTCGTCAAACATCGTGGTGCAATGTCTACACCGTGGAATGTCGAATTTGGGTAGTCTTTTGCCATCTCGGCTGTCCAAGCGGCTGGTCCTAAATAGGGATGATACGGTTGTCAACAATCCGATCTTGACAGATAAGGAAGGCATAATGAAACGAAAGATACCACAGCCAGCATCAAGAACAAAGATTCCTTTTTCAAGCGCTTCACGCACGGGGGCATCATAGTTACCACCAAAGCCGGCTTTCAAGAGCAAATGTTGCTTCGATACCCGCTTCGATTCTATAATCCAGAATCCCAATAATGTGAGCTTATTCTAAAGTATATCATTGTCATCCCCCTTTTGAAATCGTACCTTCTTCATCGCTGGGAAGTACATAGGTAACAGATTTATTGTCGTAGTATTGGCGTCCGTTCTCGTAACGATAGCTTTGTTCAGAGCCGATGCTCATTTTGTTATTAATGTATGGGAAGAAAAGAATGGTAGAGAAGCCTTGTACCCTGTTGGGCTTTTTATAACAAGCTGACAGGCTCATTCTCCTTGTTGCGCTTTTCTATCTAGCGCCGATAAAAAAGTGTGGGATTGCTTTTCCACGTCAGCCACGTTTACATTATCAATGCGGTTCAGACAATGAATCTCGTTTATTGCATCAAGCTGCACATTTCCCCCTTTTAGTTGTATAGTCCATAGTGCGAGAAGACGTACCTACGGATGGTGGTCTTTGTTTCGTTACAGTGGTAAGCATAACTAAGCGATGTCCTTGTATAACGTATCACTTTGTGATATCGAATCACCCAAATTCAAAAGGAGGGATGTCGCGTGTTACAAGAAACATGCCATGCTCTTAGATTTCAAATGCGGAGAGCGATCTTGATTTACTTGATTGCCCTAAAAAGAAATGGGTTACTCGATACCCAGGTCTGTGAACTATATTCAACTCTAATTCACGAGCTCTATCACTCCACATGGTCCTCAAAATCGCCTCAATAGCCGTGTTCCCATGACGTTGACCCATCATATATACATACATCACTCTTTGAACAAGTCTATGCAAATCTTTTATAATCTGGATGCTATTTACATTAGGTCTCAAACTACAATTCCATTCTCCTGCCAGCAGTACGAGTGTATGATGAAAGTTGCCATTCTACGTCCGCGTCTGCCAAATCAACAGTTCCCAATCTGATTTCATACACTATTTCACCCATGTTGATTAGCGACATGAGCGAAGCTTCGTTGCTGATCTTAACTTACCCCGCATTTCAAAGCGTGGTCCAACCTCGGCCAATTCAACATTATTACCGGTCTTGACATAAACATGGTGCCTAAACGACCAACGCTCGTGAGCACAAACCCTCTTGTGCAACTTTTGGAGACATACCTGAAAGAAATGTAGTCGTTCTCATTTGCAAAAGTCATGACACGTTTGCTGTCTTCCTTTGGTACAGGGAATAGATATTTCAAGACGTTGGTTACCTAATTTCCACGATTAGCATTTGCTGTATGTCGCATAAGGATTCCTATCAAGCATCACTTACTCGTTGACCCAAACGGGAGCTAAAGTTGTGGAAGATGAGATGAGGGAATGCTTCCGATACTGTGCCTTGATCCTTGATATCGTGCCGAAGAACAACGTTGTGCAAAGAAAAATAGGTTGTTGGTCCGTAGGGGAAATGACATACGACCATACCATCTATAGCATGAACCACATTAATAATGGCTGTTCCGTTCCCTCTTCTTTTATAGTATGCTTACCAGGCTGACCACGATGTTCATGCAGGATCACCAAATCTGTCACCTCGTTTGCTCGACATGCTTCCACAATGTCCTTGATAACGTGACCACCACGATTGATACGTTGCGAATTAGGGAATACCAAACGCATTTCCTGGTATACACAATCAGCACCGTATCCAATGCTAAATGACATCCTCGCCCTCCAATTACCTTGGCAAACTGTTGTAGTCGACTGCTTGGGTCACGAGAAGTAGTGATCATAATCTTGGGATCGAAAACGCCTGCTCGAGCATACTCATCATCAACGTGGCTCGTAGGTGCTAATAGTATCCATGTCAGTGAGCTATCTCGTACAATGCAAGCATTCGCTTGTATGCCATACCAGCTTGTGCCTGATCGAATGGTAGGTCTTCTCGAAGCTCGTTGCTCATATTCCGTAATTCGGTCGGTATGGCCTTTCCCTCTATTGACAACTAGGTGTGAGCGTCCCATTTTGCCAGTGACAAGTGAGATCTACCTTCGATCGCCTGCTTGATTGCCTGCTTCTTTTCAAAGTTGGTCCTTTCATTGGCCTCCAACGATTTCTTGTAAAGGTATTCTCGACGCAAACGTGTGTTTCGACGGATCTAACGATTGAAGGCGATAGAAGCTGGTTAATAGGCGTGGCCATGCTACAATGTTCGATCAAGTACCATTTTGGATAAGTGTAAAGAGTAGGTGTGATGTTCAAAAGCCACCCCCGAAGTCAGCTTAAAAATGCCTTCAATCTCCCTCCGCTTCTTTATGCAGCCCTTCCTCAATGAGACCCCTCATTCGTGATGACCAAGTGTACACACGATGCTATTGTGAAGAAAACATATACATGATGTGCAAGTCTATTGGAGAAAAGTCTGGGGCTTTACTTGATCGCTTCACTGTTGTCTTTATTAGCAACCCTGGCAAAAAGGTAAATACTGCGTTTATCAATGCGCTTTCATACCAGCAGCTCAACATTCTCGAATAGATTCCCATATGGATGCAAAAATCGTCTCAAGACGGCTATCCTGTTGTTTGGGTAAGCTAATGATAGGATGAACAATGAGGTCAATTAGGGTGATAACAATGAGCTCTTTAAAGGATTACCACGTTATCTTATATCACAATGAAGACAATGACAGGTATGATCAGGAGACAAAGTTGGACCAGCACACATGGACATTGATCAATTGGACTTGTTGATATGATTAGAGCGTACATCTATGACTTGGATACTGCATTACCCTTCCCATGTCCCGCCCACGAATATGTCATCAAAGCATTCAAGCCCGAATTGCAACTCAAGGAAGAATACCAAAGGTGCACAACATGATGATCATCGTTTTTTTGTTATCCACATGGTACTCACACAAAGCATCAAGGTGCTTCCGGCTAATACCAGCGAGAGACTATTTGCGTGAATTTGCCTCTGATCGAAGCCATATGGTAAGAAATTGGGCCTTTGGGATTCTCATACTTGATCTTTTCTAACCCATACAAGCTTGTTGACGGCGTATATGCGTCTCCACCACCAGAATATCCACCAATTGAAACAAAAGGTCAGTGAGCAATAATACAATGACAACATTTTGGAAAGACGTTAAACAAAGAGATCCATGGTTGCTAGACTCCAAAATGAACCTGTATGACTATATCAACATGACCAACAACAGCTCCAACCACAAAGATCTCAAGTACGGCATTGTAATCAATGAAGCAGAGTTTTTCCGTATGGCACTCAACACACAATAAATCTCAGCAATCGACATTCATGGCATTTTTAAGACGTTGATGACTAGCAGATACATGGCCTTGCAATGCCCGTTAGCAGATCTCGCGTTGGCTATTGAGACGACAACAGCTGGGGACTTAAATAAATTATATAGTGGATGATCAAGTGGAATAAAATCTCCATGAGGGCACAAGATCCATCGAAAAAGTAAAGATCGGGAACGACCAAATCACGTGATCACATCAATGAGAAAAACAAAATGTCGTAGGTCATGTGACCACGTGACCTAGCTTTTGCTCGTTCCTTCTAGAACCCTTTTCCTTTTGATGCTGGCAATTGCTAGAAGCCCTTTACTAGCATCTTCCACATCATTCATAGAATCCATACATTGAACATATATATATCGTGAACATCCTTAGCAATAAAAGATCATCACTTATCATAGCAACACCAAAAGTTATATCATTGGCCACTGATCTATAACCTAGCCATACGATAACGACAATTGTAGCTGATGACTTTTAATCATCCATCGCCTTTGAACAATCGAGCTTTTCAAGAATATCGTGAACCAATCCCGGAACCTATTGAATTATCTGACGACGAATCTCAAGTTACAAATCGACAACCGTTTATTATGGAAGGCATTGAACAAGAACAAGAATCGACAAGGATAAAGTGACAAGGACAAGGACAAGGACAAGATATGAATACGGCTATTTTGACTGCATTGACCCAACTGCTCAAGAACCAGGAGAACCAAAGAGGCCCAATGTTTAGATCCAAGCTACGAGAACCGGACACTTACCATGGAACAAGAACTCCACATGCTGCTGAAAGCCTGTTACGATCTGTACAACGTTATGCTGATGTGACTGGAATGATGAAGCTGACCGAGTCCAATATGCCATCAATCTTTTTCGAGGAGATGCTGACACATGGTGGCGTACAAGAGAAATTGTTGGACATGATGCAAGGCACTGGATTGATTTCTTGCAAGCTGGTACTAGACGAATTTCGACTCGCAATGCCAAACAGACTGCACGTGATCGATTGGCTGTACTTGACACAAACTGGCACCGTTGAAGAATATGTGAACGACTTCCGCAACCTTTGCCTGAAATTCCAACAATTGATCGATGATGAAGCTGACCGTTTTGTACGAGGATTAGCTGAAAACGTTCAAGTCTATGTACGCACCCAATTCCCGACCACAACTGCACAAGCTGAAAGAATCGCATTCGCCTACGAAGGAGCCATGTCGTTACACCAAAACGCTCGACAAGATGACAAGACTTGAACCTCCACGACAACCATTCCCGGATGTTGAATACATGGATTTGGATGCTGTACAAACAAGATATCGACGTAATGATTGGGCGCATACCAAGAACCTTCAGTCGTCGTGACAACCGTACGAATCAAGAACCACTTTCGTTGCTACAATTGTGGAGGCCTTGGTCATCTACAACGTTCTTGCCCATCCAACTTACCTGGTAGAATGGCGTTATCGACCTGCTTCTCAACGACCTGGCAACAAGCATTTAAAAGACGAGGCGCGACGTATGTAAAGGAGTCATCGTCGCGCACAAACATCAATCAGCAAAAACTCCTTGAATGCAACCACCACCACTACTCAGCAAGTACCTGAAGGCCGGCTCATTGATCTCACCGAGGAACCCGATTTTGGAAATGTCAACCCGACACCTGAGCTAGATTTGGATGTCAATCATTTGAAGGAACTCAACGCAATAAAGGAATCCGATTTGGTTCTTTAGTCCAAATGGTCTGCAATGAACACTGTTACTGTTTTGCCTTGATACTGGTGCTAGTACATCTTACATTTCACCACGTATTTGCAAGCATGACGCATCACTTCTGGTCCGCTACCTATAGTTGAAACAGCTGGTGGACATACGGCGGCGATCAAGTCACTCGTATCTTTTGATCTTTCAATGGCTGACGGCTACACCCATCCATGGAAGGCGTATGTGTTTGATACCAAATTTGACATCATCCTTGGCAGATTGGTTCAAGCGATGTACAACCGATACCAGATTGGCGACACGACACCTGGCAGATCAAACAAGGCAACCACACCCATATCTTGACTCCAAGTCGCAAACGGCAGATTCCTGATTTGGCTTATCTTCTCAGTCATCGCGAGATGCAACGATTGTCACGCACCAAGGCTATCAGCGAGATGTATTTGTTCTATACGGCTGACAAGATCGACAAATACGATGGCACCTTTGATACTTTGGTTCATGAATACGCTGATGTCTTCCGAAACGAACTACCAGGCTTACCTCCAGATCGTGATATTGAGCATGTGATTGATACTGGTGATGCTCAACCCATCAATCGGCATCCTTTCAAGATGAGTCCTCTCGAGCTGGATGAATTGCGGCGTCAATTGGCTGAACTCCAAACCTTGGGATTGATTGAACCAAGTAACTCTCCATGGGGTGCACCAGTTCTGTTTGTCCGCAAGAAAGATGGTTCAATGAGACTCTGTATCGATTATCGCGCTCTCAATGCAGTGACACGTCGCAATGCCCATCCCTTACCACGAATTGATGAATGTCTCGAACGTCTTGGTGGTGCACGATTCTTCTCCAGCATCGACCTCAAGAGTGGTTACCATCAAGTACGAATCCGACCTGAAGATGTTCCAAAAACGGCCTTCAACACAAGATACGGTGCATGGCAATGGAAAGTGCTCCCTTTTGGATTGACGAATGCTCCACCTACTTTCCAAAAGATGATGAATTCAATCCTTGGTGATTTCCTCGACAAGTTTGCCCTGGTTTACCTTGACGACATCCTTATCTTCAGCCGTACCAAAGAAGACCATCTCAAGCATGTTCGAATGGTGTTGGATCGTTTGCGAGCCCATAAGCTATACGCCAATATCCGGAGAAGTGCGAGTTCAACAAGACTGAATTGGAGTTTGTCGGCTTCCAAGTGAGGCTCATGTGTATCCCGCCATCCAAGTCCAAGGTCAAGGCGATCTAAGAGCGGGCCCATTCCCGTCAATGTTCAAGAGGTGCGGCAGTTTATCGGTTTGGCGTCTCATTATAGGCGATCTATTCGTGGCTTCTCAACGATTGCTGCACCACTCACGGACTTGACAAAGGGAAGTGGGAGCAAGACGCGTTTGATTGAATGGACACCTGAGTGTCAATCGGCATTCGAAGAGATTCAGTCACGCATGATTCGGGCACCCACCTTGGTACCACCCAATGCAGCAAGGCCTCTTTGTGATCGAAACGGATGCATCCGATTTTGGTGTTGGCGCTGTTCTTTTTGCAAGAAGGTGACGATGGTGAATTGCATCCTTTGGCTTTAACCGCCATAGCTTGTCATGGAGCGCAATTATTCCGCACGCTAAAAGCGATATTGCCGCACTGCACAGCCATGTCTTTGAGTACGTCATTGAATACCGCTCTGGCGGCGGCGATGGATCATCATCCAGTCAAGTATTTCAGGTCTCCTTTATCAAGCCCACACCTCGTTTGACTCGATGGATTGCTGAAATGGAGCTGTATGATCCCGATATCCAATACAAGCCTGGCAAAATCGCGCTTTTGATATCCTTTCTCGACGTGATGGTGCTCATTGTCTTACCAATGAATCGGATATGGAGCCTGAGTATCTTTATGCAACACGCGCAATTCAAGAATCCGATTGGCCAAAGTTCTACTTGCGTCCCGAAGAAAAGTGGCCATCATCTTATGCTGATTTGTTACGCAAGCATCGTGAACAATTTGTGGTGCGTAATGATATGGTTTTTCGCAAGGTCAAGGTGAACAACACTCTTCAAGAAGTCCGCTTTGCAATGTTCTCTCGGCGTGCTGACATTGTACAAGAAATCCACAAGGCTTTTGGACACCCTGGAATGACCACTATGCAGGATTTGGTGCGTAAACGTTGGTGGTGGCCCAACATGAAACAAGACATTCAAGAATGGATTGCCCAATGTTCACAATGTCAATTGGCTGCTGGTGCTGACCGCAATAATCATCATGCACCTATTACATTGACCGAAATCGCCTGCTTTTTCTCGTTGGCATTTGGACTTTATTGGAGAATTACCTACTACCACAAGTGGTAATCGTTGGATACTCGTTGCTGTTGACTACACGACAAATTGGCCTATTGCTCGTGCTGTTCTGATGCAACCGGTGAAGCCATTCGCAAGTTCATTCTGAGAAATTGTTATGCGTTTTGGCTGTCCTGATGAAATCGTAACCGATCGTGGCGCTAATTTTATGGGCAAGTTCTTGGATTACTACCTTGGTCGACTTAAAGCCAAACACAACTTGACTTCGGCTTTCCATCCTCGTTCAAATGGCAAGGTTGAACGTACCAATGGGATACTCAAATCCATGTTACGCAAGTATGTGCATGGTGAAATACATCGCTGGGATGATTTTCTTGACACCGCTTTGTTTGCATGCCGCATTCGCAAACATCGAACGACACAAATGAGTCCATTTTTCATGGTGTATGGTCAAGACCCCAAGTTACCTGGTGATCCATTGCGTCCTCTTATTACTGCTGATGAACCACAAGATGATCCCCAAGCACATGTTTCAAGTCGACTCCCCACACTTCGTTCCTTACGTGATGCTCGTGCTCAAGCTATTACAAAGGATGCAAAAGGATCGTGAAAAAGACAAGGCTCAATGGGATTTGCTCACCAAGAAGCAAGTTTATTCGGTTTGGCGACTTTGTCTTGTCGACGAAAACAAGTTTGGCTTAGGAATACAATTGGCGTGGTCCTTACAAGATTGATCGAACGTAATAACCAACTACGAGATATCTGCAAGTTACACAGCATGAATGGTGAAGCATACAAGTCTTGGGTGCACACTGATCGTTTACGTCCCATTCATATCAACAAGGCCGATGGTAATCCTGACACATGGTACGATCCCACTGCTACAAGAGCACGTTGGCGCCAACTTACCGATGCTGCCAATACTATTGCTTCCGTGTTGGTCGGGCGACCAAGATTTTCGGGAGGGTATTGTCGTAGGTCATGTGACCACGTGACCTAGCTTTGCTCGTTCCTTCTAGAACCCTTTGTCCTTTTGATGCTGGCAATTGCTAGAAGCCCTTTACTAGCATCTTCCACATCATTCATAGAATCCATACATTGAACATATATATATCATTAACATCACTTAGCAATAAAAGATCATCACTTATCATAGCAACACCAAAAGTTATATCATTGGCCACTGATCTAATCAGCCATACGATAACGACAAAAAAGATTAAACCTGAAGTTACAGGTTTGAGAAGCCCAACGGGGGACTCGAACCCCCAGCCTTGAGATTAAGAGTCTCACGCTCTAACCAATTGAGCTAGCTAGGCTCCTTGGACGTATTTTGTTCTTATTTTTTTGCTCGCGCGGACATATATAAACGTAAAAATTTCCTAATGCGGAAGTTAATTGAAGTGCTTCATGTTTGGTCTCTATATGTAGCGGACGACTTATGGAGGCTGTTGGAACAAGTTTAGGGGTGTTTGGGGAGGTGTGGGAATGGCAATTTAGAGTCAAAGATGACTAGGATGGACCATTGGCCAAAAAATTGCCATCACTAAGTCCGACATCCTCCCATGAGAACGCATGCTGGTGTAGTTATGCAATAACGTGGAGCATCAATGTCATTGGTGAAATGCATATAACATAGACATACCAAAAAAGATGGATGATGTACCGGTTAGGTGGGAAATCAAACACGCATATGCATCACACGATTTCCCCTATATTCCCCCTCATGATAAAAGTGATAACTATAATAGGTTGCTGAAGTTAACCAAAGTGACCCAGCAATCAGTATGATATCCAAGGATAGAAAAGTGTGACACGGGGCAATGTTTTGGAGATGCAGTGGAATACACGGACGCAATGCAGGATTTGGTGAATCCCGATGATACATTAATGCATCTGAAATTTCATACATGTATGAGGAGGATGCTGCTAGATTTCAATGGCGCAATGTGTTAAGGGGTTGCTATTCCAAAGATCTATTATAAATCTTGGCATGATATCGAGTGATGAAATGATTGGGTGTGATGATATAGATGGTACAGTAACTGGCATCCCAAAAGGAAACGGTAACGTTGCACACATTCGGCAGGTCCAAGGAGGCAGGCAATAGCCATGTTTACATGGAACTCACATGGGGCCATGGAAAGATCATTGTTGATGACAAACAGCATGGGCCCCGCATCACTTGATCTTTGCTTAGGTTAAACACTAATTGACACCGCACTTGCTGATGATGGAGAAACACGTTGACAGATTAACCCAATGTTGTACGATGATACGTTACGCATTGCAGCACGATCTTCGAGAATCATCACACCACACCATCTTACGTACCAGCGACTTGGCATCTACAAGCAACGCTCTTATGATTAATGTTGGATGTTTCATACAAATAAAGAGTGTGAGTGCTTTTACCAACGGTTGCAATAATGATATCATCGTATGCTTTGCTGCATTAGGCATATGAAGAAGAGCTCGAACGTTTCGATTCTCAAGAACATTTGATGCAAATGGTATGACAACGGCTTGTACTATAATAAATCACCGCGCATCCAACCATACGTTTTTCAGGTCCTATAAACCATCCATCAGCAAAAGAACGGGTGGGAGAGGTTACAAGCATTAAGCCATGCAGTAGTGACTTCTTGATGCGTACCCCTTATATCCCGGATCATTTACCATCTACTTGTCCTACAGGTAAAATGGATTTGTATCCATTTTTACTCGTGGCAGTATAGATGACATCCCACACACTGGCATTCACACGATGATTTAAAAGCCAAACAATCCCCCCTTTGTAGCATCTATTTCCCTTTTTTTCTTGCTTCTGAGTTATGAGCGTACAATGAGCAGCTTTTGGCGCCTCCGAACTCTTTTTAAAAAGCGAAGCAAAAATATAACGACTTCTTGTTCGACGACGGCTACAAGCACTTCTTCCTCAATGTCTTCTGATACCTCGCTTACCCCAACCTCTTCTACTTCAATGCAAGGATTGGCTACGCTAAAATATCGACGATACCATAACCGTGACGACGTCGCTTATCTTTTGCCTGATGATAACGAAGGTACATTGTTGCTCTTTGTAATCTTACATGTCAAAGTGATTAACGAGGGTTTTCAGAGGATGATAGATTGCATCAGCAGCATTGGATTATGAAGCTAGCTTGGGGTAACAACTTTGACTCGCCGGTCCATGATGCTCTCGAACAAGGTATTGTGGTCTTGGATTCCGGTTGTGGACCAGGCACCTTTACATGCGAATTGGGCAAGGAATACCCCAAGTCCAAATTCCATGGCACCGATATTTCCTCCCGTTTTCCTGAAGCAATCAAACCACCTAATTGCGAATACCATGTTCACAACATTATCCATGATCCAATCTTCCCTGATAATCATTTTGGGTTCATTCATCAGCGATTGCTTGTGCTTGGTTTATTGTCATCCGATTGGGAAAAGGTATATTTATACAACGTTACTACACTCTAAGCCAGCACCTTCAACTATTCCATGTATCGTAGGTTGTGGCAACATTCATGCGACAATTGAAGCCCGGTGGTTGGGTTGAGTTGAGTGAGGTACGCAAGGTGTATTTCATATTGGATGAATCGTGATGTTCATTGTAGATCTTGATAGGCTGTGCTGTCAACATGCGAAAATGGAGGTCCTCGTATCAAGCTTTTGTTGCATGCCAGTAAGTAATTGCAATGTCAATTAAGATGAGATGATAAGCTAAATGATTACCTACCTAGTATCCGAATACGGTGGGAAAAAGAAGGGACTTGATCCTGACGTAGCCTTGAGACTTGATTCGCTTTTGAAGGATGCAGGCGCTGTCAACATTGCCACACGTAGGATCCTTGCTCCGCTCAACCATGGTGGACAACTTGGATCACTTTTCTGGTACTACGATATCTCCATGGAAACGATGAATTCCAGTAGTGACACCAATCATCTATAGGGACGACTTTAAAGTTGGATTTGATGCACTGAAGCCTGTCATTATCAAAATACGACCTGATCTCGATGGTCCTGGCTTGTATGAAAAGTTCTTGGAAGAGTGTGCTGAAGAATGCAAAGAAAACAAGACCAGCATGTACTTGGTGAGGTGCTACGGCCAAAAACCATCCTCAGCGAGTGATTAAGTTATAGATTCACATCATCCCTTCCTACCTATTATGCCAACATCTCATCCATATCCTGATGCTTTGCCGATAAATCCCATATCATGCCCATATATGATCAATAGATAGAAACGCCCACATCTTCCCACACCGTTCATGTAGATCCATGTGCTCGACTCATTATATCGTAGGTCGTGTCAATAAAAAGTGTGAAAACCAAATCTCCATAGCGAGTATCCCCCGTTTTGATATCACACCATATGAATGCATCGTGACATGTCCTCGCATATTGTTGCTTTGTCGAACGAGATGATGTCGTGAATAAAATGACGTCGAAAACAAGGCGTATAGATGTTGTGTTTATTGAACTGATCCGTTTTCTCTACTGCGAAGCTTCCTTCTTATCTTCCTTCCACATTTCAGCCTTGGTTTGAGAAGCAGCAAAGTCCCACACGCCCTATAGAGTCAATGTATGAGTGAGATGCTGAATCGGTTGTCTTAAAGGTGTGGCTAATGCAATTACCTGAGTCTTGTAGGCAAGGTAGGTCAAGCCAACGGGCACAGCAGCGAGCCAGAAAAGCGAGCGTCTAGTGGTTCTCTTGTTCCAAGCAAAGTAAAGGTGGGTGTTTTCACGAAGGTGGGCCCAACGCTCAATTGCAGGATCGATCTTGATACCGTGAGCCATTGCTGTGTAAATAGGTGTAAAGTGAACGAGCTACACCACCAACAGCTTGTTTATCCGCCAAGTCAATCGGAATCTCAATCAACGTCATCAATTTGCACAATCCGCTGCTACCTTCTTCATGCTGGTGAATTCGTGATCTACCATTTCTCAATCCTTCAGCTATAGTTATTGTATCTACATTTGATTAACTACGAAACTTCTTATATAAAGGCTTTCTAATGCCTCATGTACATCCTATGCTCCAATTCCACTATTGTTTTCCATGTGCTTTCCTTTGAAGGGTAATGTTGGCTATCATACACAACTTTTCTATGCATAAAAAAAGCACCAGATGTATACTACACGTGGTCAAAGATGGTATCTATATTGCTTGTCATGGAAAAGAAGATCGGGTATAAATCTCTTTTGGTATATAAGGATTGGTGTGTATGACAAAATGGCTCGCTTCATCTTTCGAGAAAAACAACATATATGCCTATATATGACAAGTAGCTGAGGAACGAATGAAATGGGTGGATGAGGGACAACTTGAAGTGGATCTTGTAACATGAGATTGTTGCAATGCATTCGAGGTATGCATGTGAGGATTTTCCAAAAGAAGTGGCACGCCAGCGCTGATGGATCCATATGCAAGGTAAGTATGTACATGCTGCACGAGTGACATTTGGTGTTAGGTATCACAGGTTTGTTTCACGAAGCAAAGCTCGACCAGAAATGTTTGACCCACCAAAGCGTTGCTGTGATATTGACAGCTGTCATTAGTGCATGTTGCTAGGATACGGAAACAATGGCTTACCTTTGTATTTATTCTGCTTTTGGTTTTTGCGCATAGGTGCGATACCAAATAGTCTTTGTGTTGTATACTTTGCATTCCTCACCAAACGCAGCTAGAAATTCCTCATCCAATTGTGGGTGTGTTTGACGAACAAAAGGCTTGAGCGCTAGGAAAATGTCACGAAAGTTCTCCCTGTAATAGAAACGCGTGTGAATTGGGATTGTACACGAATGGGATTATCGCTTGAAAGCACATACCATGCAAGTTGTCCTAGCTTGTCACCCTGATTGACAGGGACAGGTATCGCTCGAGTCTTGATGTTGACAAGGCCAGCCTTCTCAAATCGATCTCCAAGCTCTTTAGCAATATCCACATTCAATCCTCTCGAGCTTGTAAGTGCATTGGCTATAAGGCATATGCAATATTAGAACATCATGGATACTTGTTGTATATCCCCAACATGGAATAGGACTTCAACTAACCAGCTTCGTTAACTACCTCGCCCATAGGACCAGCGTTTTCAAGTTCTCCAAAGGCAACCTGCATTGTCAAAACATGGATCAATGCATGCAACATGGGAGCGAAAACGATGGCTTATGATTTTTTTTACCTCTGTGCTCTCGATCCATCCACCTGGTTTGAGGATGATTACAAGTCTTTGTATGAACTAAGGATCATAAATGTATGAGAGGAGTGTGCATGCTTACCCTGGCATGGATGTGGTACTTACACTATCCCATTCAGAGGCGAGAAGACCTAGTACCAAAAGCCGCTGATGGATGTATTCGAAATGATTTGCCGGAAATGGAAATGGATCAATCATATTGTGGACGGTAAAATGGCAATTCTCTGGTTTGATAGCATTTGGGAACGACGTCGTAACATCAAGCCCTTCGAATTCAGAACGAGGATAATCCTTTGCCATCTCCATGGTCCAGCTTGCAGGGCCACAAGCACAATCAAGAACCTTGATACCCTCAACAAGTGCCTCTTCTACAGGGGCATCAAAATTTCCCTCGAATGCAAGTTTAAGGGTCCAGTGCTGACGATGTCTACGATCGTTTTCTAAAACATTGGATTATCAGCTCATGTTTTATTATGATGATGCATGCTGCAAGTGATGGTGTTGGATCAATGTTACTACTCACCTTCATCATCTTCAGGGAACAATGCAGGTATATCATCTCGATTGTTATACCGGCGCCCACCATCCATAATAACATAATTCGAAGAGGGTGGTGTGCCGTATGGTAATGACGTTGATGATGAACGTTGTTGATCAGATGCTGATGTTGTGGTGGATGAGGATATCGATTGCTTTCGTTTCTTGGGAGATAAAAAGCGTAGAAACCAAGGTGTACGACTCATTGTGGTTAAAAAAGAGAAGGAAAAAGAAGAGCATGTGAGCGTGCTTTTTATGCAAATCAATGGGAGATAACCAAAAGAGGCTTGCCCCGCGTTAGAAAACGATAAAGCGTGTGATACAAGGCTGCAATGTAGTCGTATATACCCTTTAGCACCTATAATCGCAAATGGGTTTGTAAAGATCTCGATTCTTTGTAAAATACTTGAAACAACGCTTACCCCGCGTGTTACAATAGGTTCGTGTAAACTTTTCACCTCCCATGTTAATGAGCATCCTAAGCTAACAATGCATTTTAACCTATCCCCTGGATCTCAAGGAGTGAGTCAGCAAGTAGGTTTACACGGATTCACCTGTTTTCAGTCTCAACTACTATCTTTGCCCTAGGTATGCAGCATATACCTCGGAAATTGTCATGCGTGTGTGCACCACGTGGGACGCTATCCTTCATTTGGGGATGGTACTGTGTCCCCAGATGGGACACATAGGGAATTTGTTCCAAAGTCAAAAAATCCATAGTCAAGGACCGTCATTCCGACATTGGATCTGAGCACCAAGTGCATGTATTTTAAGGGTTCCTTTCATGTCGCAAATGACCAGAAATGCGTATTTGTATCGCAAAATTGGCGCGCAGCAATAGTCGAATGTTCTTTTTGGCTGGATTTTACATAAAACAGGTTTATGTAGAGATCGGCAACCTCCGTGCACGCGAAAGGAAATTCTTGTTACCGATGTTTACCACCATTAGCTTAATGCATGCGTCGGTAAACAAATGTCAAAAATATAGAGTTGATAGTAGTATCAATAGGCTGCATGTCAAAGGTATCATTGCATGGTAGTGGATAAGGCCTAGCTGATCACTACTAAATTCGAGATGAAGCGTTTTCATGCATGCAATATTGGCGCTATTAGCATACTTGATAATGGCATCATACAACGTCAGCAGCTAATGCTTACCGCTACAGTGGGACACGGCTGATGTTTTACGTCAAATGAGGAAGACTTGCCTTTACTGGCTTGGACCTTATCATACCCAGGATCCCGGCTCAACGGGCGAGTAATTTCCCCTTGCGAGTAGTAGCTATGATAGCTCTGCTTCATTGACCAATAATAACATAGCATACATGTAATTGAGCAAGGTGATACTGTAATCCTCATTGTCGAGATATCGAATGTCACTTTCCCACATGTACAACATCTTATTCCAGTATACCGGGTCGCCGATTTCATAACATCCTCCTGCAAATCGAGATACCATCATTAGCATTCAATTAAGGGATCTTCTCAAAAGCTTTCAATACGCTTCTCTAGACGATGAATTGATTTTTTCTCGAACCCGCAACAACCTTGCACGCATCGTATTCCCAATGTGGCACCACCATGTCACCATTAAAAATGCACGAAATGCATCCACCTTAGCATGCATAATGCATGGTATCCATGCAGTTGCTATGGTATTGACCATGATACGTGATCACACAAGGCAATACATTTACTTTATTAATGGTTGAAAAATTGCCTGTAAAACCCAAGAATGGGGTTTCAATTCAAGGTGGTTTTGGGTTCCACAGCTTGATACGTTATAACGGCCTTCCCGAAAGCTGTACAAAGAAGGCGAAGATGGTTCTTACATACCAGGACTATAGTGAGGATTGGTTTGCTGCTTTACTAGCCTGCACATAATACCTCGTTACGCATGTACATATACAGCCACCAAAGTAACAGCGTTTGAATGGCATTGCTTTTAAATGCATGTGACATGTAGGCCAAGGGTGTCCAAGCAAGAGGGTAACGGGCAACGAATGTGCCAGGATAGGGCTTATATTCCTTCCATTTGGATGTGCTTACTCGCTTGTAAGGGTGTTGCCATGGTATCCAAAGCCAAGAGGTGGTATCAGGATGTCACAATACACAAGCTGTTGCTCGGCGTGCAACAGTAGTACAGGACACCGTGAATTACAAACCTTAACTCGGCGGTAAGAACGATGGGCTGCTACATTATTATGCACCCCCTTAATCATATAGCACAGTACATTGATAGGTATAGTATAAGATACTACATCATCCTCAACCAAAGCAAAATGGATGTGGGATCACAAAGCAGGTTGAGATGAGCAGTGAGTAACAAAGGATGATTACGACGTGCGTGAGACAAGGCAGCGGGATATAACAAAAAACACGGACCAACATTCGCTCGATTTGGAGCCCGCTATATGCGTATGGATATACATGTGTAATGCACAAAATCTTGTACCACTTTACTTTAAGCTATATTCTTTCAAAACATGCGCAATTCATGGAGACCTCTTTCTTTTATACGTATCTGGTGAGCATACACATGACACATAGTCATGAGCTTTTTCAACTTTTTCCGTGTATTGAATCGAAAGGCTCGCAGATCACTTTCCGGAAGGGTCAAACAACAATCTCGTATGAGTAGTGTGTCATCATCTTCGCAAGACGTCTCATTCACCTCGAGCACATCTTCATCAAAGTACCGATACGACGGTGGTCGTCGTTACCATGGAGACGAGAAGGTAGCCTATCTATTGCCAAATGACAATGAAGGTACGTGCGTCTTTGTTTGTATACAATGAATCGCCACAAACGAATTACTCACCAACCACAATTGTAGAGGATGATCGTATGCATCAACAACATTGGCTTGTTGCACTTGCTTTTGGTTCCCACTTCGACTCGCCGGTGCAAGCGGAGCTCGAGGCAGGTACCAACGTGCTAGATTCTGCTTGTGGTACGTTGATCCTTCTTTCCTTACCTTTTCCACTACATCACCGCTTTTGCAATTGCAAGGTATTGGTATCAGCGAATTGGGTATTGACGCGTATTTTTATTATGTCAAATTATCATTGAAAATGATAAAGGACCAGCTACTTGGGCAATGCAAATGGCAAAGGCATATCCCAACAGCAAAGTATATGGCACGGATATCTCCGAACGATTCCCGGATTCGATCAAACCCAGTAACTGTGAATTCCTTGTGCACAACATTGTTGAGAACCCTCCTTTTCCCAATGACTATTTTGGGTTCATTCACCAAAGGTTTTTACTTCTCGGTATTGCAAAGAAGGATTGGCCACAGGTATAGTAAAGAAGAGAGTGGTCGTTTGACATATGGGGGAAGAGAGCAATGAGCTAAACGGGCGAGCATAATAGATATTGGCACACCATTTGCGTACTCTTAAGCCTGGCGGGTGGATTGAGTTGACCGAGGTACCTTATTGAAGCACAACCCACGTGCAAATCGTGATCAGCTCACATTTTGCATGGACCATCTTTATAGCTCTCATACGCAAAACTCGTCAATGCAGGCCCAAAGGCACAGCTGACATTCGATACTGGTATGGATATTGCGAAGAGCACAAAGGATGATACATAGCATGAAAAGATTAGGGTGGCTAATATTGAATGACTTTGTATAGCTATCACTGTCATGAATAAGGGTGGGATGGACATTGACCTTGCCAACAACTTGGAGCCTATGTTGAAGGATGCAGGATTTGTAAATGTGCAAACACGATCATTTGATATGCCCATGAACCATGGTGGTAAGGTGGGCGAGCTTTTCTGGTAAGCGAGTGAAAAAAATAGTGCCCACTTGAATAAGGATCATAACACAACGCATCTTTTTTAGGGATGATTTCCAACAAGGCTATCACTCAGCACGACCCATTTGGGCAAAAATCCATCCTGACATTGCAGCACCAGGCACCTTTGAAAAGTACATTGAGGAGACTGGAGAGGAATGCAAACAATACCAAACTTGCGTGCCCTTTACTCGGGCTTTTGCACAGAAACCACCACTTGCTTAGATTCTCTAATGTTACATAATAAAAACAACAACGTGTAGATGTATGATACTCGTACGAAGCTGACGTTTTCATGCGGCAATGTTGCACAGGAGCTGAACGAATCAAGCATCGTCAAGGCGATTCTTACTTTTGCCCATTGAATCTATTGGCGGCAGCAGCACTCGGGTGGATGAAAAAGTCTAAATATGGTATATTGCAGACATCTTTTTTGGTTTGGAATTCCTTCAAGAAGTTTATTCATTGCTATTCTAGACTGATGGAATTGCATGTACATAGCTGGTGATATGATACAGATGAGAATAGAGAGCATGATTCATGTTGGAAGGAAGGGCTGCTATCGATGACGGTATGTAAAGAAACGAATTGTTCAGAGACCAAGCTTGTAAATGGATGGATGATGGTGGTGGTTCTTTGTACAATGTTGAATAAGTGCCGATGGTGCTGTTCTCTTTCTTTTTTGGGGAATTGCAACCTAGTAGGGTATAATGAATTTACGTCTTTTGACCCATATTCCAAGAAATACTATACCATTATCGATTATCAGTAACCAAGATACCAGAAAGAACCCCATAACAATGTGCGTCTGGTGAGCCTGTTGTTGTGCTGCCCAATTGGTGTCAATCGTACGCATCTTCTTTTGGCAGCTTATTACCCATATGATCCTTCGACTCATGTTGTTGTATACACCCACAGCCGAGCCGACTGCAATGATGATACAGATGAATGGTATCCTTGGAGACGTATTGATCAATCATCTAAAGCCATCGTTGTTGTTATCGACATAGCTGATCATGGTCGTAGCACATGTTTCGCAGTGACGCTTTAAGTCGACAAGGTTTGTTGCCATGGTCGTATCAATGTTGGATACCGCCAGTTGCCTGGTACAGTGTGCGTCCCATAAAGTGCATAAGAATGGAAGTTGATGGATCAAGAGGGTTGATACTGACATGTCGAAAGAGCTGATGCGCAATGTGTTAATCAAAAGTAATGATACAACCATCATCACCCATACCTTTTGTCCCAATGTCATAGTCCTCTTATCAATATACTTGAACGTGTCGTCTTCACTTGTGTCTCGTAATCAGAGTGTCCCATCCATGGCATCCAAGACGAAAAGAACATGTGCTAGAGAGAGATAGCTTGTCCACATCATCCAATGCTTTCACCGCCTTCATAATAACGGTGATCACGTTGCTCCTATTGCTGGTGCTTGTTGGTGTAGTTGGTGCTCCCTTCACACACGTCATTCTTCCAAGTCATTGAACGCCCATCAATATCAGTGAACGATACACCGGATTCTTCATGAACACAACTGCTGCATGGTTCCCTTGATGTCCATTGGATAGAGTCGATGAGAGGCGATGCTGCTCAATGTAAGTTTAAGTTGCAGTATAAGCCATGTACTCGATTGTCACCTTCTCATTTCTTTGTTCCTTCAGGAGAGTTCTCGTTTGTTCGCTGTTATCAAAGACAAAGAAAGCGGTTAAAGACCAGCATCATGCATGAGCCTTGTAAGTTTCAAACCAGGGCTGTTCTTCCCGAAATGACAGTTTTTCATTCTCCTTTACATTTCTCAGATGGCTTTGCTTTCTCTTCAAGCCTTCCTTCCATTCTCAATGAACAGGAACTACCATGGGTATCTTACACAAGGTTCATCCGTATTGGAAAGAAAAGTGATGATATGGGCAATATAAAAGGTAACAATCGAATGTACGCAGGATAGGATTGGTAGAGCTTATGTTAATGTCAAAGGTAGTACTTGCAAGTGTCATCTTCTGCAGTATTTGCTTACAATCAAAACAAGCAACGCCTTGAAAGGATTCCTGGATCTGGTAAGTCGTCTCAACGAACACAAAGGCGGAAACGGCAATACTAAGCGAAAATGCTAACAGTCATCGGTAATACTGAGCCTGAGAATTAAGCCGATAAAGGTTGGCGTTGTTACACAGCAGGAAGGTAAGTTAATATAAAAGCCAAGATGGCATCAGCCTTCGTCGACTCACATTTGCTTCCCACTTTTACTCCGAAATGACCAATACAAAACAATTTGAAAACCGTGTCGCTGTTATCACAGGCGGAAGCAGAGGAATCGGAAAGGCCGTTGCTACTGCACTTGTCGAACAAGGTGCCAAGGTGGTGTTGGGCGATGTACTCCAAGCTGAAGGCGAGGCAACAGCCCAGGAGCTCAACACAAAGTAATGCATTTTTCATTGTATTCTTGGCATTTCAATCCATGCTAACCCATGCTCATATTAGGGCCAACGCCAAAGTAGCAGCTTTCATCCGTACTGATGCGACCAAGTACAAGGACAATGCCGCCATGTTTAAGTTGGCAGAGAAAGAATTTGGTGGTGTCGATGTAAGTGAACTCGTAGCGATTTCATACATCATGGTATCCATTTTAACATGTGACATGTGATATTAGATTGCTTTCTTGAACGCTGGTATCGGTCAAAGTAATCCGCTCTTTGCCCCCTTTGATGGTACGTATCACATAGTAGGCATCATCCTGCGACAACAACGTCATGTTAAAATTCACGTGATACCTAGATGAAGCGGACGAGCGGATCATGGATATCAATACTACAGCCGTTATGAAAGGTACGAAGGAATGCTAATAGTGTTTCAAGCAATATCACTAATGGTGCTTCTTACAGGAACCAAGATAGCTCTGGTCCATATGGCCAAGCGTGGTGGCGGAACCATTGTCAATACGGCATCCTTTTACGGCATTTATCCTGAGGCGTAAGTGAAAGGGATCATGATCTTGGGTTCATCATATGGCTTACATGGATGAAATGTGGTCAGCTTTACATGCAGCTATGTGGCATCAAAACATGCTGTGGTTGGATGGACGAGAAGTCTTTACATGCTTCCCAAAGTGTGCAATGTGCGCGTCAACGCTGGTAGGATACGCTTTTATTGTTATATCGTGATGATTGCGGCATGCTGATTCAAATTCATCTCCTTCTTAGTGTGCCCTTATTATGCAGGTAAAGGATCAAAATGTCGAAAAGAAATCATCATTCATGTATTGATCATCTCTGCACTATTAGATACCGACATTATCAAGTTCTCCCCAGAATTAGCCGAGCAATACCCACAATTGAAATTGATTTCAAAGCTCCCTCGTGTAAATGTGGATACTGTGGTAAAGGCGGTGTTGACATTGATGGAGGATGAGACTCGTAACGGTACGTAGTGCTTTGAAGAGTGGAGAAGCTCGTCTACGTGACCCAAGTTACTGTCGCTCACACTTTTTACAGCTCAAGTACTTTTTGCACTCCCTGGTGATGTTATCCGCCCCCATGAATTTACCGAATCTCTGCGTAAGTGTGTTACAGCCAAGTTTATTGTATATCACTAACCAAGTAATCATGTCTCTTTTAGCCGAGGCTGACACTCCCGAAGCTCGAAAAGCAAGGAAAGAATACGAGGAAGCTTATCCTGAATTCCTCAAGGCACAATTGGCTGCATCAATCGAGGCCTATGATCAAGAATATGGTAGCAATTAACAAATAAAATCAAGTTGTTACGTGTATATGCGTACAATTGCACACGTGCAGTGGCATTGTAGAGTCGTGTGAGACAAAAATGGGACATTTTATCCGATCAACATCCCTTGTAAGTGCCAGCTAGCTGTCTAATCAACAGCCCTTTGCATAACCATGGAAATACTATGTACTGCAACATTGTGTACGTGGCTGTCCAATGATAATAAGGAGCGGATGAAAAAGAGAGAAGTTCGGGAAGCTCTTCCTTTACCAAGCAGCTGACCGCAAGCATCAAGAAGCGATCAATATCATATGCCACTTTTTTACTCAGCCCCTTCCATGGGCTACTTTTCATTGTCTTTTTTCATCACATTCATGTTTGAACAAAGAAGCGTTATCGGAGAAAAGACTACGTTGTCACTACTTGAAGTGAATACATAGAAGGTATTGCTTACGAGAAAGAGGGTAATCATGGGAAGAAAAGAAGAATATAGACCTCGGAAGGATTTCCACACTAGACACCAGACCCCACTAGGCGTGTTGATATTAAGGTTTTCACCGCTAATCCCCGCACTCCTTTGTGTCTCGATGTTCTCCAGCAGCGTTTGGCTACCTTAAAGTGCTTATCATACAGCCATATGAGTTGACTGTTTGCAAGGGTGCTAGGAATACTCCAAGGTGTTGAAGGCTGCGCATCCAACAAATTGAGCGATCGATGGTTACACCGAAGGATTTGCGCATTATGGCGCAACCCAGTCAAGGAGATACAAGGTCGTGTCACATCACACGCTTAATAAGTGATTAGTGTTCTCATGTTCGTTCTCGAATTGACACCCAAATATTTGTTGTATGCTGTTCACAGCTACTTTAAGAGAGTTTAAGGTTTATTGTTGATTTTGAAAAGGATGGATCCACAAGTATGGGATATAACAATGAGCCATAAGGGCACTGTAAAGAAGTGTCAGATGATATAAGCCGTTAGAGCAAGTTGACTTGGATCTCGGGTAAAACGGCACGAATTTGTCCGTGGCCGATAATAGGCTGGGGTTATATAAAGCGGCTCGCAAATCAAGGACAGCCGATACAACACAACAACATCATCTTAAAACAATGGCTCCTCTTAAAGTAATCGGCGCAGGCTATGGACGCACTGGTACAGATAGTCTTCGTACAGCATTGAACATGCTTGGGTATGTATCTTATTGTCGACATGTCATTTGAACAAACAGCTAATACTATTATGTCCGCAGCTACAAGTGTCGTATGTATTTTGTGGGGGTTAGAGTGCCGTAATGCTGACCATTGGACTCACTACTTTGTAATTGCAAGACCACATGCGTGAAATGTTCGCTCCCGGACGTCACCCAGAAAAGTTCACTGAAGCTTTCAAGCACCCTGAGAAGCCTGTTGATTGGGATACGATCTATGAAGGATTTGATGCTGCCGTCGATTGGTACGTGATGTGTATAGCTGAGCTATAAATTTCATGCACACATTGACATGTGTCAACTGTTCCCCCTTGCTGCTTCTAGGCCTACCGTTACTTTTATTGATCGATTGATGGTTGAATACCCTGATGCCAAGTTCATCTTGACTATTCGAGATGCTGAAAGCTGGTACAAATCCGTCAAGAACACCATTTGGCAGGTGCAACACAAGACCAAGAAGGAAGATCAACCTGATGACTTGCCTGAGGATATCAAGAATCAGCTTGAAATGATCCGTACTATTGTTCTCGATGGTGCATTTGATGACCTTGACCGCTTTTTGGATGAGGAACGCATCAAGGGATTATACAACGCTCATAACGAATGGGTCAAGAAGAACATCCCCAGCGATCGCTTATTGATCATGGAGCTCGGTGAAGGCTGGGAGAGAATGTGCAAGTTCTTGGATAAGCCTGTGCCAAGTGAACCTTATCCTAGCGTCAACAGCACTGATTCATTCAAGCAGATGATCAATTCTGACGTTAACTTCTTTGACAGGATGAAGGTCATGTATGGACATACCAAGGATGCCAACGCTGCCGAGTCTTCTTAAGTACTACTATTAGCAGACAACAAGGTCATGTATATCATCTTTAATCAATAAACCAAATCACTTGATACTACAACAACAACAAGAGGAGGGGGTTCAAGCTATGATTATGATAAAATGAGAGCGAGCATCTTCACCAGAGGAAAAGTTGGGTTGTTCCTTCGTCGATGGGATAAGCCATTCGTCCCCATGACAGCCTGTGGACGTGTCTTTGGCAAAAAAAAGGGCAGCTATTCCATCAGGATCCAAGGATACGAAACGAGTTATCATTTGATACGAAGACATGCAATGATGTACGCCATAACATCTACTTCGGTGACGGTGAATTAAGGCATAAAGCATATTGTCACATCATGTTGTCAATTCGAGCCTATCATATGATAGGGTGAGGAGAAGTAGGGGGTTGGATCATTGATTTTTGTGGCACTAAAATGATCCAATTTCGGACATGCAATGACCAGTGGCTCTTTCTCTGGTTGCAGTAACCATGGACGAGACACGCGCTGTACATCAGGACGAGAAACGAACGAAATCGCTACCAGACACAAGTCCTCCACGTTGGCATACTCGAGGTATTCCCCATTCCTTCAACTACTCTTGCATTGGTCAGTCCATTCACATCAGGATGTGTATATATAGAGTTCTACTTTTATTATGTCTGCTTTACTATTGTGGTACCGTACATGTTCTATGTCACCTATCGCTTAAGTACAGGTAGGGGATCACTACGATGGAGGGATCTAGCGAGTGTCATTGCAAAGGCTGATATTGTTATTTCAAAGAGGACGATCCACACTATGAAGAATACAAAGACTTGCTATCCGAGGGCTGGATTCCCAATCGGAAAGTGGTTAGTATCATTATGGGCGTCAAGGGGTTGAAGCTGGATCAAACCTGTATTTGTATGGGAGCTCAATTGGGATGTATGTTTTGTGTATAGGATAACAGTGATGCTCAATATGCCACCTTTCGCGACAACATACCGCGTCTCTTTGCCCTCATGGTGGGATACCTGTGCCTGAGTCATTTATACCGAATATACGTCATGCCATCGTCATCAGCAGGAACCAATCTACCCGTCAAACAAGCGCATCAACCTCTTCATCGCATCTATTTCTTTTTCGTATCAGCAATCATTGTCCTTTGTGCATTCCACGGCACCAGCGCATTGAAAATCTTGTTCATCATCACCGTCAGCTATGCAATTGGTCGATACACGGGTGGATCCATGCTGAATCCTATTCTATCTTGGACATTCAATCTCGCCATCTTGTTTCTGAATGAATGGTATCATGGCTATGAATTTGCTTCCTTATTGGGCCCCAGCTTTGCATGGATGGTGAGTGGAAAGAATTCTTGGATGCATCGATCGATATTGACACGTGATGTTCAAAGGATGACTACAATGGAGTACAACCAAGATGGCATATCCTTTTCAACTTTGTGATGCTGCGGCTTGTGTCCTTCAATATGGATTATTATTGGCAAGTAAAGAAACCACGGGATCAATATGAGGTGTGTATCGTTGAATAGTACGTTGCGGCTCAAAGATGAACCTTTGACTAATGAACAAAGAAAAAGAAGGATGATCGAGTGGGTGGCCCTATCAGTGACAAGGATCGCATTACCATGCCATGTTTCGCATCCGATTACAACTATACCAACTTCATTGCATACGTTCTATATCCACCACTTTATCTTTGCGGCCCTATCATCACATTCAATGATTTCATCTCCCAGGTAACATTGACAAGGCATATCCAAAACAATGGTTTAAATTTACATGCGTTGATTAGATCAGATATCCATCTACCAAAATCACTCGTCGTTTCGTTATTACCTACGCTATCCGATTAGCTTCAGTCATCCTTGTCATGGAGCTCACGCTACATTACTTATATGTGGTCGCTATAAGCAAGGCTAAGGCATGGGATGGTGATACACCTTTGCAGTTGAGCATGATTGGCTACTTCAACCTTGTCATTATTTGGATGAAGCTATTGATCCCTTGGCGTTTCTTCCGATTGTGGAGTTTGGCTGATGGCATCTTTACCGAAGAAAACATGGTTCGATGTATGAGCAACAACTTTTCGGCACAGCGATTTTGGAAGAGTTGGCATCGTACATTCAACCGATGGACTGTGAGGTACGCTAAGAAAGGGATATCCAGCAAAATGATCCACTAATTGTGTGTGTGTAACAGATACATCTTTATCCCATTGGGAGGATCCAAGTATTTCATGTACAACATGTGGCCGGTATTCACGTTTGTTGCTTTGTGGCATGATATTGAGCTCAAGTTGTTGGCATGGGGATGGTTGATTTGTTTATTCCTGTTGCCCGAGATCATTGCTTCAAGCTTATTTACCTACAAAAAGGTAAGCTATATACGAAGAGGATGAGGATGAATCGTGACAATGGTCATTGACGGGGTGGCCTTTTTTTTCTTTAGTTTGGACAAAAACCATACTACCGGTTCGTGTGTGGTCTCGGCGCTGTTGCCAATATCCTCATGATGATGATTGCCAATCTTGTCGGATTTTGTGTTGGCGTTGATGGAATGGTGGATATGCTGACACACATTTTCGGAACGGTGGATGGTAAGGGAGCAACGATTGGAAACGTCGCTAAGGGCACTATACTAATAGCCATGAATCATTTTAGGATTAATGTACCTTGTCGCGGTGACCGTATGTTTATTTATCGCAGTGCAAATCATGTTTGAGATACGAGAAACGGAAAAACGACGAGGTGATCCCCGATGGAAGATGTAAACAAAGCATACTACACATATACATAATGATACACAAGAGAAGACAATAAACATTATATTTAGTGTTGACCAGCAATCACTGTAATTTATTGAAACTCTGAAATCTTTGATTTGCCATTAGCATCGATAAGGCCCCAGTGAGGTTCAACGTTGAATTGGCCGCCATTCTTCCAGTTGGAATCTTGAGCTTCGAAAAAGTAGTACTTGATGCTTGAGCTCTTGAGAGCATTGTACACCTTGGCAAGATTAGCGGTGCTAGGAACAGCCTTGCCATTGGTATCACCTGAAGAGGGCCAGCCTACTTCACCGACAATGACATCCTTGCCACCAGCCTTGCCCTTGAAGCTGCCGAGTTGTTGGTTGAGATTGTCAACGGCATCATCAGCGGTCACAGCACCAAAGAATGGATGAATGTTGACAAAGACGATATCGGAAGCATCCATCATGTCACCTTGGAAACCAGTAGGAGTGTCAACAGTGCCAACCTTGAACTTGCCACCGAGCTTGCCCTTGACTTCCTTAATCTTGCTAGCAACATCGGATGCGCTCATAAGACCGCCTTGGACACACTCGTTACCAATAGCAACACCGGCAATTTGGTCGCTATTGGCATTCTTGAGATTGTTGACGAGCGAGCTGATTTCCTTTTCGTCCTTGCCAGAACCATCAATCCAAGCAGCTGCCACGACCTGCATGTCAGTGTTTTGGATGGCCTTGAGCAAATTGGGAAGAATATCACATTCTTGCGAATAAGTGCGAATACGTTGAATGCCGTTCTTTTGGAAGCGTTTCACCATTTGAGATACTTGGTCGGAAGAGTGACAAGCGCCATCAGCTGATTTGCCGGTGTACGTGATGCCGTATACACTACCACCACCACCGCGTTTGGCAGCAGGAAGAGCAGTGACGAGAGCAGCAAAAGCAAAAATATAAAGCTGGACCAGCAGCAACATGTTGAAATGAATGGAATGAAAAATAAGAGAAATGTGGAATGATAATAAAATTATCGACACGACTTTTGGACCCTCTACTTTTATATATGTTGATCGCTTCCAGACCTTAGTACGAAGATCTTCTAATTTGTCGGTTGTTTCAGATCATCTTCTGAGCATGAGCAGGGTACCTGATGGTGACCCGTGATTTCACTTTCTCCTCCCGAAACCCATCTAAAGTAGTGTATGTCAATGGTAAAACGTTCGTTGTTCAACTATTGTGTGTCACATTGGTTAGCAATGAAGATAAATGGTGATGATTGACAACATGTCAGTGCACGGCAGCTGTGTGTGTGTACCACATGATTTGTGCATATCCTTTTTAGTTCGACACAAATTAACCAGCCCCTGGGAATCAGGCACGAAAGCCACGTTGAATTTGTTTCACTTTAAGGCAAGCGGGGAACTAAGACAAATGTTACAACACAACCTTATGATATACTATTCTAATTTACAGAAAAAAAGGGAATATGTATATATATATTATATATAATGGGTGATGGTGGTGATGATGAATGGATGGGTATATCATTCATTTCAATCAATATACAGCTGCAGGGCTATCAACTCGTTCTTGTTGTATGCTATCCCATCGTTGTCGTAATTCTTCAAAGCTGCCGCTGCTATGGCGTTGGGAGGACATTTTTGCGCGGGAAGCACGAGTAGGTGTTTGAGCAAGTCGATCAAAAACGTTACCACTACTATTGGGAGTCATGGATCGATGTTCCACCATTGGTACAGTTTGACGTCGATATTGTTGGCGTGTCTGTGTTGAATAATTAGCGAGCGGTGATGATGGCGGGAGTGGCGGTGGGTATTGTTCAAACAACCCTTCTTGGCTTAGTTCACGTAGAGAAGCACGATGGCGAGGTTTACGATGAAGGCTGCTGGATGACGACGTGTTGTTCCAGGAATTCAAAGAAGAAGAAAAATCTGATTGGATTGACGATCGTCGGAGATGATTGCTTCGAATCGATGATGTCGATGAGTCTCGATCAGCGGTATAGCGTGCAAATTCAGCAGGGCTAATCATTGTGATTGGCACTGGTGATTCAGATCCACCCGTTCTTTGCTGTTGCCAAGATAAACGCTTTTGAATCATGTTGTAAAATCGATCCGGTGATGGTGTTGTTTCTCGTTGTCCTCCTCCAGGCACTGGTGTCTTGTTCACCCTAAGCGATTTAGGTGGTTTTGGAGATCCTCGTTCACCTCCGCTGCTGCTGTTGCCATGGCTACTACCACTACTACCACCGCTTGATGATAAGGTACCAGAAGAAACAACCGAAGATCCAGACGAAGTTCCTCCTGTCACAACATCAGCACCACCACCACTGCTGCTATTGCTGTTCATGATAAAATCATCATCATCTTCCATTCCAGGCTCAGGGGTTGTGTTGATCAATCCTCGTATGCCATCTTCATAAATCTTGTCGAAAATTGTGTTGCCTCCATTAATGTATTCCTCAATTTTGACATCAATGGGTGACTTGGATCTGTCAATGACGCCGCCATCTCTGAGTTCTTCTAACTTTCGGATACGTCGTTCATTTTCTACCGTCGTTGCTATGGCAGCTCTCTTCATGACAATCAATGTGCGTCTCAAGTCCATCACCGTCTTTTCCAAATTCTGTTGCATGGATTGTCGATTGCATTCATTCATCCTGAGACTCATAATATCATCCACAAGTGCTTCAGTGATACGTCGGCATTCATCCGTTTCCAAAGACTTTAGTAGTTTCACTGTGACATCGTAAGCAACTTCAGGTGCGGCGTTGCTGGGTACATTGTAATGTTCTTCAAACGCATCCATGTCGGCCCATTCATCTGTTGGCTGTGGATCGGTGATAATCTCGTCGGCAAAAGTGACATGTTTCTCAACACGCGAGGTTGTTGTACCACCACCATGGTTGTTATTGTTCTCATCGGATTGTCCTATATCATCACCCGCTGCTTCAGATTGCAAAGCCCGAATCCGAGCCGATAGATATGAAATCTCTGCTGACATTAGATCAATGCGCTCATCCATCAATTCAATCGCCATTGTGTCCATAGGTTCTCCCGTGGTATCAGCATTCTCCTTCTCGGCCATATAAATCTGCTTGCGCTCTTCAAGCAATTCCACCTTTTCAGTAGCCAAACGCTCACGACGTACAAGTAATTGCTCCATCTCAGCAACCGCTTGCTTGCCTTGGATGAATTGGCCCAACGCCTTGTCCAAAAGCTCCTTTTTGCGGGTGGCACGTACTTGTACAGGAATTGGATTTACCCGTTTAGCACCACGACGTCGGCCATTGTTGTTGTTGCTGTAACCAAATCCACCACGACGAGCAACAATAGCAAAGCTACCACCGACAATATGTGACACACGACCCAACAGTCGCTCGTCAAGCACGCCACCTTCACGCACCGCCTTTTTCAAGACATTGACAAGTTGCTTAAGCTGAGCTTGATTCACCATGATCTCCTCGCTACGTTTCTTGAGGATCAGCTTTTGGTTCTCATGCTCACGTTCCAATCGCTGCTTGGCCATGTTTGCTTCAGCTTGAAGACGTTGAAGTTGATGAATACGTCGTTCTTGAGTAGACATTTGTTCTCGCACACGTTCGGCTTCAGCTTTCATACGTTTCACCATACGCTTCTTCTCCACTTGCAATGTCTCAACATTGGCACGCAAGGATCTCAGCAATGTCTCGTTCTGGTTGCGAGTTGCTTGCATAGTCGATGTCATTTGGGAATACTTTCGACGTAAATCTTGAATCTCACACAACAAGTGCTTCATCTTGGCCTCGTATGCATGACGAATATCAATCAATTGCTGCTTCTCTCGTTGTTGTAATGCAACATCAGCCTTGTTGGATTTATTGGTGCTGAATCGAGACTTTGTACGATCCAATGCTTCATCTCGTTCACGTTGCAATTCGGCAAGTTGTGATTGGAAATAAGCGATCTTGTCATCAAACTTGCGTCTCATGAATGCATATTCAGTCTCTGATTTCTCTAAATGCGATACGAGTTCTTGCTTGACCTTGATATCAGATTGAATTTGGTGTAGCATTCGTGCCATTTGGGGATTGCTCTTATCCACTTGCTGTTGTAATTGTTCAAACGCGCTGGATTTGCTGTCAATGGATTGCTCAGTAGTCGTAGTCTCTGATTTGCCATCACACTCTTGCTTCTGATTGAGCTTTACGGGATCTTCCCATGTAGGCACAGCCTAATCAAGAAATGTCGTTAATACATCAGCATGTATAGTCAGCGTAGCTACATACCAAATGTTCAAGCTCTTGCAAAAGATAATCATCGTCATCTTCACCATTGTCATTGACTGGGGATGGTGCAGCTGAATAATGTCCTTCGTCTGATGATTGACGTTCCATGTTGAGACGATGTTCTTCATCTTCAAACATCTTGAGCTCTTCTTCCCAGGCCTTGGCTGTGTCATCCAATGGCTATTATACAACAATGAAATGAGCAATCTTGCATAATGAACAAAACAATGAATACACATACCTTAATCAATTCAAGCACTTGCATGCCCTTTTTGATTTCATCACGTGCTTTGGCGATGCTATCACGTACTTCTTGACGAATGTTCTCATCTTGGACATCATTGACAAAGCCTTCATCCTCTTCAAGGTCTTGGAACTTGTTGGTGGCATGTGAAGCGGTAGCTTTGAGCTTGTGGTGTCGTGATCGTGCCGAGCGAGTACCATTGCTGTTGGAAGTGGTGAGACTTGTGCTGGGATTCATTCGACCATTGTTGGCACCACCACGACGTCGTCGATGATGACGTTTTCTTCGTTGACTGGTAGATGCACTTGGATTCTTACGTGGTCGACGCGATGCAGTGGTTGTGGTGGTTGTTGTGCCTGAAAAGTTGGCCCGTGCTATATCCATGGCGGGTTTCATGGCTTCGAGGAAGGATAAACGATCACGGGTATCGGCAAGCTCATTGTTGAGATCTTGAATCGTCTTTTGATATTGTGCAATGATAGGATGAACGTTGCCCTTAGTAGAGGGTGTGGCGTTGTCATGGGAACCATCACCGTTGCCATGCTCTTGTTGAGGTGATGTAACAAATTCATCCAATTCACGCTCCATAATAAGGGTGTCACGCTCACTTGTTGCTTGGATCAAATTGGCACTCAAATCATCGATACGTTCTCGCAATCGAGCGTTCTCTTTCTTCAAAGCAATCGTATGGTCGTCACGTTGAATGCTATCAGCAAAGCTGTCTCCCGTTTTTTCTGCCCGTAGTGCTGTAATCTCCATGCGTAAACGTGCCACCAAGGAGCGTAGTTGATTGATCTCAATTGAGTTGCCAGCAAAATCTTGGTTGATGGTGACTCTATTCTTGATATTGCGTGCACGATTGGCGTATTTGAGCGTGTTCAATGTCTCCATAAAATTGGAATCAGCAGGGGATACACATGCAAGCATCAAGGTTTGACTGTTGCCACCCAATGAATCTTGCAGCAAACGTGTCAATTTGGAGTCGCGATAAGGAACATGAGCAGAACGCCTTGATTCATCACCAAGAGCAGAGATCACATTGCCCAAAGCCAAAAGACCAGAGTTGATAGCAATGCCTTCCTTGGCTCGATCACCTTGTGCATTGGTGCGCTTCAACTATCATAAAAGTCGACGAGTGAATAAAAGTCAAAAGTGTTGGGTGTTCAACTTACACGCTCTGAACCTGCAAGATCGACAAAATGGAACTTGCTTGTCAATGACTTGGTGGAGCCATCTTGATCAGGTTGATTCTGCTTCAATATCACCGAGAAGATGGCATGTGATCTTGAAGACACCGTATTCATATCAGTGGAGCCCGTGGTACGGCATAAGGAACCTTTGGCAAGGAATCTAAAAGCTATGATCAATAATGGCAAGATAATGCTAATGGTTGTGTGCATTTAATTTACCCAAGGACTTCTTCAGGATCTTGACAGGGCTCTTCTCGAACACCGCTCCAGTAGATATTGCCAGCAATGTCTTCACGAATGGTGACTTCAGTCGTATTTGCAATAGTGTTGGCATTGCTTTTCCTCTTTTGACTGGTGGCAGGGTTCAACAGGTCGATAAGTTCTTCGTTGTACAATTCCAAAAAGGATACAGCAATCTCATAGCTAAAATCGGTCTCCTCTTGTGCACGAGATTCAAGCTTGTCGAAAAGATCAACGATACAACGCGGGACAATGCCTAAAAGAAGAACATGATTTAACATCTATCGTTGCTAATGAAGCAAAAGCGATAACAATACCTTCATGATCAGGGTTGTTGGTATGCTCAAGACCTGTGCCCATACTATATGTCTTGCCAGATCCAGTTTGCCCATATGCAAGAATGGTGGCATTGAAACTGCAAAGGAGAACAAAGGTAAGAGAAAGGCCATCATCACATGTAGTATGACACGACGCTTACCCTTCCATAAACTTTTGCACTAATGGGAGAGCAGCAGTCGAGTAAACGCTTGCTTGATCGGTGTTGCTGTCAAACACATAATCGTAGGTGAAAGACTTGTCGGTGCCGATGAGGATTTGTGGCTCATTGGGAATGTAAGAAACGCATTCGGTGCAATTGCTGAGTCGTTCTTTTTGTGTCAAAGGCCGTGCACGTAAGCCCACCCTAAAGAAAGGATAATGTCGTTTAATGGAGTGATTCGGGTCGGAACAAGAGGCGATGATTTATTATGCCGTGTCTCCGCAAACCCAAGGCACACACACACACACACACAGGCACACACACCTCACAGCAGTTGAAGTCATGGGGGTGATTGATTATGCTTGTTGTTATTTACACGAGTTGTTGTGTTGATTGCCCAATGAACAATGTATAAAAGAAAAAAGAGAGCAAAAATGATAAAAGTGATGGCGACTGGAAAAAGAAGAGAGGAAAAACGAGAGAGAAGGCAAAAGAGTACAAGGAAAGGTGTACAAGGTTGGATCGGGCTTGTTACACAGGTGATGCCCGGCGGCCCTTCCGTTCTGTACTAATGACAATGATTACATTTCAACTTTTTTTCTCCCCCTGAATTAACACTTGTTATATGAGATACACGTTTCATTTGACAATTTCGTGGATGATTGGGATCAAGTTCATGTATCGAGGGGTCATGATTTTGTTGTTGTTGGGTGATAGTGATGAAACAGAAGGGGGAGGATGATGTGCACAGTGCGTCGACGTATCTGGTGTATAGCAACAAACGATTGATGTGTTGGCTGCATACACATCATCTGGTGCCTTTGTTTGCAATACAAAACGCACATCGACCATCAAAGTTGTCGTCGTCATCATCATTCGCCTTCTCATTTGAAAACATATCATTGGGATGCTTCTTTGTGTTGAAATCCTTTATATATGATCCACCTCCCCCCCTTTTCTTAAAGGCCCAACTGCAGGTATCAAGGAGAATAGAAGCATAGATACATACAGCAGACAGTGCGGACTCTCTCTCTCTCTCTCTGAGAATGTGTGTCTCGTTCCGGGTGCTTTTCCATCTGTGGCACACATAAGCGCACATACACGGTCTTATCCTCCGGTGTTGCACACTATGCTTTTCCACAACCTCACATTCCTCTTCTCCTCCTTTGCACCACCACCACCACCGCCACCACCGCCGCTGCTGTCTTTACGCTGAGCCTTGTATCTCGTCATGTTAGTAGCAACACGTTGATGACGAACAAAGTATGCACATATAAAAGAATGAGAACACTGTGCAACATACGTGCATCTATAATGATATGGGGTGTTGTCCCGATGACCTTGTTCAGTAACCGATAACGAATAACAACTTGTTGGCATGCCGACAAACTTGGTATTAGCCGATCATCTCTCTCTCTCTCTCTCACCTCCCTCCCCCCATCTTTTATATGCAAAATCAGGAGATTCAGAAGGTCTTGACAGCCTTCTGTAACAGCAACAAGCAAATGGGTTCATTATACCGAGGCACAAGATGCTATATCAGCTGATTCTATGCAGCATCTAGGCCGAGTCTCGAAGGTATGTACAGCCTTTTTTTTCCCTCTTACACATGTGCATGCATCCAGCGTTTAATTAGCCACTGCTGCAATGTTGTTGTTATCATTCCATTTGGGATCCAACATAATACCAAGGTAACCAAACATCATGAATCCATTGTTTCTTCTACCCATGATGGGGTAAATGACACAAATAGTTACTCAAGTAGAAACAAACAAGACAATCGCACGATCCCATCATCGGGTCTTTTCCGTAACAGCAGGTGGCACAAGCCATGATGATGTAGTAATAGTAATACATTTTTATAGGCGTGAATGATGCATAATAAAACAAGGTGTAAAAAGGGGGGAGGATATCTTCTAATCATCATGATCGTCATCGTCGTCGTCGTGATCATCATCTTGATTCCGTGGTCGTTGCTTCCTTTTCCTTTTGCTGAGCAAGGCTTGTCGTTGCAGCTCCTTCTTTTTGTTGATGGCGCCCTGTTTGCTCCTCTCAAATTCTTGAGCCATGGCTTCTTTGCGTACAATGACAAATGTCTTTGGATCCGATTTTAAAATCTCAGCGTTGTTGCCTTGGCTGACACCCTCCTTGAAACCCAAAGTGCGACGATGCTCGTATCCAGGATAAAAGGTCGGGTTGAATGGTAACGTGGCCTTGACAGCTAATGCACCTGTAGTCTTGGCTAACCTCTTGACATCCCACAAGTTGTACGGCTTACATGTCTTAATGGTCACATGGATCTCACCATCCGGTAATGGTTCATCACTTGCTGTTGCCAATTCACCTCCTTCGTCATCATTTTCAGGTTCCATATCAAGCACATTGCTATTCCCAGATCGATGCCGACGCTTCTCGCCTTGTATTGAAAGAAGAGGTGTGGCCGATGCGAAAAAGTCGTTCAAAAGGGCTTGGTTGGCACGCACATTATGATCCTGATCCTTGATACCAGCACCTAGTCATCCGAGTTATTATTACATCACAATGCATCCCATTCTCATGTTGTACTTTACCTGCATGAGGAAAGTTGAATATGATCTTGGTATATCGATTCTTCCGGATAAGCTTGTGCTTGCCCAATTGCGTGCCATCCACCTCGAACAATACAGTGACACCAAGATCCTGCAACGCTTCAATGTTGTCCTTGGCTTCGTCTCCATACTTTTCATATAAAACTGATTCGCTGTCAAGACATGTCGCCGTGATCAGTGCTGGATTGCTTTGCATATAGTGGTCTGCAATGGCACGTGCAAATGAAAAGTTGCCTTCGCCAATCAACAAGATCCGATCGTCCTCGCCAAATGTCGGTTTGCGTTCGTACACCTTTTGTTTGTTGGTTTTGGCGAGTTGTTGTTCTCGTCTTTCCTGCTTCGCTTTCTGGATATTGCGTTTCTCAGCTTTTCTGAGGGTCTTATTGAGCGATTGCACCAGCTTTTTCTTCTTTGGCGGACCCATGATAACGATGATATTACAAGAAGAAAGCCACACCCCCCACCTTACGACCAAAAAATTTATGCAGAGAAGGGATCATCCTCCGCCACCAAGATGAACAGCATGATGAAAGCAACTCATCCCTCCATCGCTTTGGTTGCATGCTTGAAAGAGTTGACAACCACTACTGCCGCCAAGCCTTGATAATCAGCTTACGGAGACGGAGGGATTATTTGCCCGTGAAAGACTCTAAATAGTAAATGCTATCGTCAGCGTTTATCCCGAAAAGGAATCGCTTCAACACTATCAGGTACACACACACTGGTCCTTTGGTGAGGATATAGGAGCAAGTAGAATACCATTAATTCATATTGAAAAAGTCCTTCGTCAAAATAAACACGAATCTGACAAAAGAGGTATGCACACGTAGTAAAGTCGTATCTATTGCGTGGATAGATTACGTGTTTTGGCGGCTAGTATAAAGCGAGGTGTCACGAGTAGTGCACAGACTATGCATAGAGACACAGATAATTGTATATAAAAGGAGAAAATTGAGCTCACAAGGAAATCCTATATTGCATAAGATGTCATCATCATTCTCTGAACACTGCTGCAGAAAGCCTCCAGTCGAAAACAACTACAAGCCCAAAGGTGACTTGGTCAACCTTCGTGATGACTTGCCCGTCTATGTGATTGGTCCTGAAAACGCCACCAAGGCTGTATTCGTGTTTTATGATATCCATGGCTTTCAGTAAGTAGATACTCAGCATGAAGCAATGAAGCATGGTATTGATACATAAATGCTGTAGCGATAACACAAAGCAGTTGTGCGATTTGATTGCAAGCGAGGGCTACAAGGTAGTCATGCCTGATTTCCTTTTCAAAGGGCAAAAGCCTTTTAATGTGCTTGGCTTACCTCGCGAGGAGATGATTGCTTGGGTTATGAAGCATGGCTCAATTGATGCGGTATGCCTATTACACCAATCCATATGGAATGGAGATACGACTTACGATGTAATGTAGATCTCTGAACCTGCTGCCCTCGTTCGTGATTGGTTGAAAGGACAAGGAGTTACCAGGTGTGGCATTGTTGGTCTTTGCTGGGGTGGCAAGGTAATAAAAGGAATAGCTTTAGACATTGGCATCATATCAACTTGAACTTTTTTTCCCTCCCCAGGTTGGTCCGCAGTTGACGGGTCGTGATTCATTTTACAATGGTGCTGTGCTTGTTCATCAAGCTTTGATGGATCTCAAAGACGCTGAAGAAGCAGGTGCTCCCATCCTCGCACTCCCATCCAAAGATGAGCCCGATATGGTAATCAGCTTTCATTCTTCCATGATTTCTTTGTTGTTGCTAATACACGCATTCATATTTTTAGACCGAATACATGAACATCCTTTCAAAGAAACCATTTGGTGACAAATGTGGGATCAAACGATTTGATGGTAACATTTTCTATTGTGTGCCAGTATTCCTCAATACTGACATTTATACGTATAGACATGCATCATGGCTTTGCTGGAGCCGGAGCTGATTTCAGCAATGAGCTCAACGTCAAGAGAGTCCAAGAAGTTATTCAACTGATTGTTAACTTTATGAGTGATGTATTGTAATGAAAGGCTTTCACAAATAGATACATCTTCCACCATTAAATAAGCTTTTTGAGTTCACAAACTGCCCAGCTGATAGCCCATTCCCTCCCATTTACCTTTGTTGCCCAATTCAATGCATGTGAACGATTGTCCTGCTCCAGCCCAGCATGCTCATCATTGAACTTTCTTGATCCGATGGGATTTGGTTGAGTTACGCTCAAACACAGAAACATCATCCAATATCAGAAGAATCAAATTGGTAAGTTATTTGTAAACTGCCACTTGATAGCCCATTCCTCCCATTCACCATTGTTGTCCAATTCAATGCATACGAACGATTTTCCTGCTCCAGCCCATCATGTCCATCATTCAACTTTCTTGATCCGAGAGGATTTGACTGAGCAACGCTCAAACAGAGAAGTATCATCCAAGTATCAGAAAAACCAAGTTAATTTGCTGCTCTTCCCACTCCCAGCTTCTTGCTCTTCCTCCCATTCTCGACTGTTGGTCCATTCAAGTATACAACTACCACCTGCGAACGATTGCCCTGCTTCAACCCACCATGTCAATCCTACAACTGCCTTGATCTGATTGTCTTGACTGAATGGCAAGTTCATGCCGTGTACACAGCTTTTGATCACTCTTCTACAACACACAAGTCTCTTGACACAACACACGTTCTTGCGCGCTTCCCTGCCACGACCAATTGTAACAGCATTCATTCCAGCGGTTGCTTTAGCAAGGTCTTTAGCCCATTGTATCAAACAGCATTCACAGCCTTGTCACTCTACTACAACGCACGCACTTGCGCACTCGTCTGCCGCAAACCAAGCGTAACAGCAGTTACTATTAGCATGGTCTTTACTCTATTGTCTCAAGTCACTTCTTTATGTGAACAGCAGGTAGCCATTATATAGAAGCAGCTTTATTCACGCGTAGCAACTTGCTTTAATACAAACGAATGTCTATGAACATGGATATGGATATGAATCATGGTTTGGTGCATGGGATGGAAGGATATGGATATATCAATGCATTGAAAAAGAGGGCATCCATTGTCAACTTGAGCACTCACTTGGATCATCTTACTTTACACGCTCTTCCATGACAGCTACTATCATCAACCTTTGCTCTTTAAGATAGTTATATATACGGTGGGAGATCCTTATTTGTGTATGCATAAGAAATGTGATGATGTTTATTGTGGTTTGATGAATCCTTGTGGTGCTTTATCACTCTTTGCTTTCTTTTTCCCCTTGTTATCATCAGCAGCTCGTCGTTTCTTTCCTCCTTTTCTCCTCTCTCGTAAATCTTGTTTCATAGTATCCATGTATTCATCTTCTTGTTGCTGAGCTTTTCGATCCCGTTGATCCTGCTTTTCCTTTTCCTTTTGTTCTGCTGCGTCCTGTTCAGTTTGCTAGACGATGGGATGAGTCATTTGTTTTCTTTCTCTTCCATATCCTGTGATCTTACCTCGACCACCTTGTTGAATTCCTTGAATGATTGACGTCCTAGATTCGGTCGAGTGTCATTGAATGCCAGATAGCTCGGTTGATAATCCACGCGAATTTTTCTAAATCTCAAATGATGAGCATACCATTATGCAATAGGGCACATCCATAACACCCTCCTCCTCATCCAGTATGATCCCTCCCACTTACGGCTTTTGTACTTGATCCGTTTCATATTCTAATACCCATTCGGCTTCTGTAATGATACGTTTCCTTTCACGTTCAAGCTCTTCTTGCTTTTCCTTTTCCAAAGATCGTTGCATGAACTACATGTAAAAAGAAAAGAGAGAGAGATCCGTAATGGGTCAGACACTACATCATGGATAGGGAGTGACATTGGTCTACCTTCATGCCGAGTAATCGGTTCGACGGTTGTTTGACTCGTTTGTCGGCCATTGTGGTTGTGTCGTATGTCAAAAAGAGGAAGGTAAAAAATGCTGCTGGGTAGCTGTCTTTTGCTCTCGTTTTAAACGGTCGCTATGGTTGTTCAGTACACCAATCCAGAAATCAAGGCTGCATTGACAGAGAATGATAAGAAGCAATGTCTCGATGTGCGTGTCAAGGTGTTTGTCGATGAGCAAAAGTATACTTTGGAAAGCGAGATACATGAGTAAGTCATATCCCTGGCCCGCAGCACCACCCTACTACATACGTAGCTTTCTAATAACACATGACTCTTGGGATAGCAAGTATGACTCAGTGAGTGACCATTGGCTATTGACATGCGAAAACATGGATGGTGTGCGAGTACCTGTTGGCACTGTACGAATGTATATGGTGGGAGAAAAAGTAGGCAAGCTCGGTCGTTTAGCCGTTCTTCAGGATGCACGGGGATTACGATGTGGTCAATCACTTGTCAAGACGCTTTGTCAATCAGCTCATGAACGCGGTTTGGATGCCATCATGTGTGAAGCCCAAGTCGATAAGCGTGGATTCTACGAGAAGCTGGGATTTGTCATTGAAAAAGGCGATGAAGAAGCTTATCCAGTCGATGGTACACCCCATTACAAAATGTGGAAGCGGTCGTTGCCATAGAGATGTGTAGATTATAGCCCTATTATTGTTGGCCTTTACCCCCCCCGATTAAATTATTACTAGAATTGACATAGAGGATTATTGAGTCTTGTTTGAATCTTTCTCTCGGATTGTAAAGCAGTGGATGTCAAGATAGGAACAAAAGGCATTGATCACGGTTGCTACCCAATATAGGTAAACACTTGTCGAGATCATCATGAAACCCCAAATATATAACATCTCGGATTGTGGAGTGAATGCAAACCTACAAACAATATGCCATCAGTTGTCTAGGTAAAGACTGATTAGGGGAGTAGTACACTTACAATTCAGAGACTCGTGGGCAATTGGCAGCAAGGGCACCGCCAACAAGGGGCACAAGCAGTATGCTCGGTTTTGGAAAAGTGGATTTGGTAACATGGGCTAGGATGATCTTGCTTGCCATATGTCCGAATACAATCCCAATGGCTAGTGTAAAGGGAATAAGATGTTGACGTGAGAGAATGAAAGAGTATGGGGATGTGCACCAGGCGTATATAGCTACGCAGTAGATGAGGATGGGGCTATCTTCTCGAATCAAGGTTGACAAGAAAGATTTGTCTTCATCGAGGCAAGCTTTGCGTATTGTATAAAGACTATCAAAAGTAATCCATACATCAATGAGAGGTTAAAGATGTAGCTATTCTATGTGATGAATCCCAACGTACCTTGAAGGACAATGAACCATTAAGCTAAATGCAGAGATCAAAGCAATCCAGCCGTGTGAAAATGACATGTTGGCGATAAATGATGGCATGAAAGGAATGATTTGCCCCACTGAGACCATCCACACGCTTGAACCTAATTGGATAGCACCATGCAGGTGAGCATTAACGTGACATTCCTTTAACCCCACACCCATCGATCGAGCTACAGGTTGATGTGCATACCATAAATACCAGAAAGGGTGAATACAAAGACGGCCAAAAGAATGCCTTCAGTGGGTGCATTTACATAGCCAAGATAAAGAACACCCGTGTGGTATTCCTCTTGAGTCGACAAGTAGAATCCAAGCGCTTCAGCGATGCATAGCAATAAAGTAGCATGTGAATGTCCAGAGCCAATAGCACTTGCTTGCAAGATTGCAGAAAACATAGTGTTGAGTGCATCACAGCCATGATCGAAAAGTTCACCCAAAGGACTAGACGTTTTTGTTTTTCGTGCTTGCCGCCCATCCACATTATCAAATGTAGAATACAACCAAATCCCAGCTGCATAGCATAAATACACCCATCGATGTATGCCTTCTGCTCCATACTCAAGACTCGGTGTTATACAGCTTGCCAACACCACGTTGACAATGATGAAAAGGAAACCGGTTAGCGTGATTAGATTGGGTCTGCATGATACTGTTAGTTAGTGTTTGAATCATTGAGCATCGTTTATGCATGTATCCTTACGCCATGGATGAAGGAAACCATTGGTGCGCCCAATCCCAGTAATGCCGTAATAGATAACGAGAAAGAAATGAACGATCAATGGCATTGTACTTGTAAAGTTTAAGATTGGCAAGCCTATCAGGTGCCAGGTCTTTGTCGATAAAGCTGAATGAAGGAAGCATAAGAAGAAAAAGTGGTTCCTGGATCAAATCCTTGAAGCTAATTTTTTATGTATGCCTGAAAATGGTCGACGTAGTAAGTTGGCCGATCACCCTCTCTTTCACATGATTTAGTCAAAGCATGTGGCTGACTGTTGACCAATCCTTGTGCAAGGATGGCTCGTTGGAATGGTGGCAAAAGAGGCGGTCTGTGCACTTTCCTTATATGTAGGCATTAAGCTTGGAAGATAGTAGGTCTTTGTTGACATTGGGATTTATTGGAAACAAAACTTTGGTTTTATAGAATCAAGCTTTACATGACATAATCATACACGAATAAGAGTTGGGGGGGGGTATCAGATGATAATTTACCAGCCTTGCCATCCTTCAAGAGAAGATTCAAAGAGCTCATCTTCACCACCTTCAACAATCTTACAGATGGGGGTGAATGCGGAACGACCGCTGTCCTTGACATAGTCCTGTGCATATTGAAGACCAGCACGACGTTCACGGCGACCTGCTTCATGACCAATCCAGGTATAGACTTGGTGACCAACATCAAAGATGTAAACATGGTTGGTATCGAACATTTCCTTGGAGATCTTATCCTCAGCAACGAGTTCGAACTTGAGCTTGAGACCGAGCGAGGCATGAGATTTGCGTAAAACAAAGAGCTTCTTGGGAAGATCTTGACTCTCATCCACTTCCTCTTCCACTTCATCATCATCGTCATTGTCAGCGATATCGCCTTCGGAGCCCAACTCTTCCCAGAATTCACGTGCACTGCCTGAATCTTGCTCTACAATAACATCATTAGCCTTTGCTTCCTATATCACGACATACACTTTTACTTACCAATCACGACCATTTCACCATCACCGTTACGTTCGCTAATCAACTGAGAAATATACTCCGCAGCCTTGGCACGTTCAACGCCACGTGATTCTTTACCCTGCCATTGATAAACCTTGGCACCAGCATCAAGCACAAAGACGGCCTTGGAACGCAAACTCTCATGGCTCATAGGGACTTCAGTGATCACTACAGCATTGCGTGTACGGGTGCCTTCAAGGGCATCGGGACGATGAACACGCAACAAGCGCTTGTGAAATTCTTCCTCCTCCACATGGTTGAATCCACTAGCAAATCCACCTTGCAAATACTTCAAAGTACTAAAGTAGCTCTTGAACATGCGAGACTCACGACGTTGGACTTCACGGTGTTGTGTAGCAAGACCATCCAAAACTAATACACAATGAACACTTTAGTCCAGGGTCCTCTTCCTTGTAGAAGAAAAATGAGGTATACGTACAGTCATCCAATTCAACGGTCTTGTAAGCTGCTGTACCAGCTTCATCCTATTAGCCGCGTAACCAATGATAAGTTATATATGCCGCTTTCTCTTTTACTTGTGTATGCTTTTTAAATACCTGAGTGGTCTCCAAGCCGAGCCAAAAGTGAATGTTGTGCACGAGAGCATCCGAGTTTTGCTTGAGAGTGGTCTATTTTATACGTGTTGTGTGAGATGGGGGATATAAATGAAGCCATACCAATCTATCTTACCTTTAAGACAACATAACTATCACCTTGATAGAACTGACCATACTTATTCTCAGGCACAGTAACGAGCTCAAAGCTTTGCACACGCCAAATCCACATGCCCCTTTAAAACAAAACGAATGAATATGATGTGATCTTGTCAGAGCTATGTGTATATACATACGGTTCCTTGCCAATAGGGGATCCTTCATAGTTCCATGCTTGCTCGAGGGAGCCTTCTTCTTTGCGATGTTGACGCTCGAGTTCAGAGCCGAAGTTGGCGAGATTGGTTTCGTCGAGGCCTGCAAGAAAAGGAGGTGACATGAGCACTTTGTCCAATGACGACGAGATGAAGGTTGTTTACTTACGCCAGGTAGAGTTACGAAGCATGATGAGTAGTCAATGGGGGGTAGTTGTTGAGTGTGTGTTGGAAAAAAGGAATATGCAATTTCAACGGAACAACGGCACAGGCAGCGCACTAAATCCATCCTAACCAAGCCTTGTGTAACAACCACTGCATTGCCGAATATGACAGCCGGGCCGAGACACATAATTATCATGTCATTGCTGCTGATGTACCCATACTCGTGTATACCTTCCAATGAGACGCGTTGTTGTATCATGTATGTATTAGTGATTTTTCAGGTTACTTGAAAAGATAAATCAACATGGGCTGATCGATGACGATAAGAGCGTTTTCATTACTAGCCAAGTACTTGTTGCTTAGGATAGGACCAAGGGGAAGATTGTGTCTTTATGATCACATGATATGGGTAAGAGACAACAATCAATGTATGGATGCACTCGTCAATGTTGCATAAATTTCTCCTTCTTCTTTCACTCACTCCTCCTCTCTCTCTCATGCATCCTGATCCTTCTTTGTTGACAGCACTACTATTGTGAACTACCATGACCGATGCTGCTGAATCGCGATTTGCAATCAAGTCGGGCGTGAAGCTACAAGGCGATCGCTGCGTGTTGGTTTCAAGCTATGGGAAAATGAAGCGGCCACTGGCACTGGATCAAGCGCAACAAAGTCAATCATCCGTGATAGGCTTGTTTTCAAGGGACCATGTGGGAGCAATACCTTCTATTCGTACTGGATTCAATACAGAGATGAGACGATTCTTGTCAACGGTGGGGTTACACAAGTAAGCACAATCAAATTTGCATTGCATACATTGATTCTTATATATCATGTTGTATAGAGCTTTTCATATAGAAGCAACAACAAATCCAATACTCAGCATTGTGTTGTCTGGAAGATGCATGGATGATGAAGATTATGGCGATTGGATTGTATACACTGGCACTGACAACAACGACGACGATGATGATGGCGAGCAAACGCATGACCAAAGACTCGAAGGATACAACCTGATGCTGGCAAAATGCTGTGCTGCTCCCATCAACGCAAAGCGAGGTAGTCATGCACATGAATATTGGCTGCAAGGTACACCTATTCGTGTCATTCGTGGATCGGGATCAGTGCGTCTTCTTGGATCTAGCCAGACGTATATGCCGTGCAGAGGGTTTCGTTACGATGGTATTTACAAGGTGGTTCAGTACAAGCCAAGAAGAGGACTTCAGGGGAACATAGTATGGCAATTTGCATTGCGGCGTTGTGATCCATCACCAGCACCTTGGACAAAGAAAGATAAGTAGAGTGGCTCATTATTAAGGGAAACAATGATGATGCTCATTGGTCTTTTTGTTATATCCTATACGCTATCAATCAATGGCGAGACATTGTCCTGTATTCCAACATGAGGATTGGGAAAAGCGATATCAGTATTGGATATTGATGCGGCGTGTGATTGACAATTTACAACCAACGATTGGTTACTATGGAGAACAAGGGCAAGCAATCGAATACAGTGATGGCATGCGACGAATGGATGAACAGCAAACAATTGGATCTAGCAGCAGCATTATGGAATCACAAATGATACGAGCAGTATATATCCCACCGAGAAGGCTTCAAAATGCCATTATCGCTGATGCCATCAATCGCCGTATCTGGATGCGTGTGTGTGACCAAACCTATCAACAAAGTGTCGGGATCCAGGATTATCTATCATTCATTGAAGTCGCATTGACTCAGCCAGAATTCCAGTGTCTTCTTTGTAATGAAAAACTCATGATGAACATCAACAAGGAATATCGTGATGGATTGACAATTCCTCTTGTGCGTGTCGATTCATACCATTGCATGCGATGTGATTACAACTTTTGCAAGGAATGCATCGACGTCAACACCGATTATGATACCCGCCACTGCTGTTGCCCTCATTGTATGACCCTTGATTCATTGAAGACGAATGATACGCTGATGCACGTGTTCAAAGCTGCACACATTCACCCATAAATGATGATGTTGTTGTATGTAGTCATTAAAAGCTTAGTAACCAAATTTGCTCATGTGACCACTCCTGCTGCTGTTATTAATCCCCAAGCTGTATAATAATGATATCACTTTGCTTATACTGATGTTGTCCATCATGTATTCATTGCCAATTTAATCATCTACCTATCTCATATAGAGTGTTTTAAAGGGCAATCAAAGAGGGATAATTATGTAGAAGAGGTGGGCGATACATAAGAATGTTGTCAAGAAATTTCAGTTAATGCATTCGTGTGACACTTCTCGGCTGCGGAAATCACGAACAAGTTTCTCTTTTGTCCCTGTCAACTCACTTTATCTTCTTCCCGAGTTTGCTCTCAAAATGAACGACATTGCAACCCATTCCAATGCACCACGCAATGCTGTTCAACCAGGTGTCACCATAAAGGACGATTGGGCCACGCTTGTCTCGCCTTCGACCCAATTCCAACGATCGATTCCACTTGATCAGTCTCAATCGAGTGCCGATCCTGTCGTTGGACTCTTCACCAAGGACCACAGAGGAAAGATACCTTCAATCATGATCGGCTTCAGCACTGAATCACGTAAACAAATGGCAGCTGTTGGAGTACACAGGTAAAAAAGTGAGCTACTTTCAATATCATATCATCTAAACATGGCTATGGTAGAACACTCATGGCAGGCATTCAAGGCTCTCAAGCTTCGGGCATTGTATTCAGCATTGCCATGTCGGGTGAATACGAGGATAATGAGGACAATGGCGAGTACATCATTTATACGGGCAGTGGCGGTCGAGATCCTTCATCGGGCAGCAAAAAGCAAACCTTTGATCAAACATTGGATGGCCGTAATTTGCTGCTAGCAAAATGTTGTCCCGTCCCTGTCGACTTGAAGAATGGTGGTGATGCGGGTGATAACTGGCGCAATGGCGTACCAATTCGTGTTGTTCGTGGTTCGAAAAGCTTGCGTTTTTCAGGATCGAGGAGTTATGGACCATCTGAAGGATATCGATACGATGGCGTATACAAGGTTGTTATGTATTGGCCAACGAAGGGCACATCTGGATTCAAAGTTTGGAGATTCATGTTGAGAAGAGACGATCCATCACCCACACCATGGTCGATTGAAGATAAGTGTGGGGACTCAATCAATGGCTTTTTTATGGCAAGAGGGACTTATTGTATTTCTTTCTCTTTCTTTACGTCAAAGGATCATGCGAAAGCATTGCCCCATGTACCGAGACAATCAAAATGAAAAGCGACACCAATATTGGACATCCATGCGACGTGTCATTGACAACCTACAACCAGCAGTTGGATACGGTCGCCAAGCAAAGACATTCGATTACACCGATACCATGATTGAACAAGACATACAAGAAACGATTGAATCTGACAAGGCTATGCTTGAAAAGGAGATGGATCGAGCAATCTATATCCCGGATGATCCCCTGAAGAAAACGATCCTTCTTGATGGCATGAATCGACGTATTTGGATGCGTGTCTGCAATCGTGAATATCAACGAAAAGTCGGCATTCGGGATTATTTGTCTTTTATCGAAGTTGCATTGACACAACCAGAATTCCAATGCTTGATTTGCAATGACAAAGTCGCCCATCGCTCCAACAAGCAATATCGAGACGGTTTATCCATTCCCTTGGTCCACTTTGCTTCCGTACATTGCATGCGATGCGATTACAACTTTTGCAAGGATTGCTTAAAGCCCATGTTCATCCGTGATATCCGCTGTTGCCCCAATTGCCTTGCCGTTGGTTCGCTCGAACGTAACATCAACCTCAAACGAATTTACCAAGCCGCCCATATTGAACGTAAGTTGTTGTTTTCTTTTAACCTAGCACAGCCATTAACAGCATTGTCATTTACTTTTACAGCTACAACCAAAAAGTGAACAAGTATATCACAAGACCCGTCTTTATTATTATCTATCACCACCTTGCTATAACTTTGGACTCTCCACCAATCCCCTTTCCACTAGCCCAGCTGTATATTCTGCTGCTCCTACGCTAGATTGATATCCAAATCCTAAATGATTTCCAATACAAGTATGCATTGTTAACTTGTTGGACTCGTATCAAAATGTGGATGTTGCCTACTTACCTCCATGTCCATATGCATGTGTCACGAGGATTTTGCGGCCATTGGGTTTGGTATAATATTGGTTTTCAATACGGGCACCATTGATGCGTGAAGGACGAAGGCCAACGCCATGTCTTACTATCTTTAGAGGAGCGAGGTCTTTCAATGCAGGACAAATGACTTGAGTGCGTTCAAGAATGGATGCAATGGTAGCCTTCTCTGGGTTGGGATTACTTGAGATTGTACATGTGTATGAGTTATGGGTGCTGAAAGCAAAGGACTCTAAGGCCGTATGTTGTACTCACAAGTCATTCTTATTTGCAGTGCCTCCAAGGACCACTGTACCATCCGAGCGAGGTATTACATAGGTGATGAAATCTTTGCCTATAATTGACAACTTATCGTAAGTCTCATCACTACATAAATAGATAGTATCATGACGCTTACCCAAATGTGTAATAGTTTCCTTGATCGAAGGTGCATATGCCACCACCGTTTGACCTCGTGTTGGATATACCTGGTCATCATCAACGCCACCCAAGTAGCGTGCGCCAAGCCCGGTACAATTGACCACTGCATCCACTGGTGGGAGACCATCTCCAAGATCAAAGGCTTCACTGATATGTGCTAGTGCCCTTTTCATGATTTTACCGCCATTGGAAATAAATTGATGTTGCAGCCATCGGATGTAGTGGGGTGCATTTACAACCACTGCATACAACAATGTTATTACGATCCCAGGGTCACATGACGATAATAGCATCCACATTACCTGTGGTGTAACGATGTCCTATTTTGGCACCAGGTGGTAAGGATTCCTTTGGGACGAATTGGAACTAGGCATTGGGTATGGTAGGTTAGCCTACTGATGTTGCTCCTCATCATCCTCAAATGATAAAATCACCGATACTTACATCAGAAACAAGGTGACGGAACCATGGATCAGTGGTTTCTGGTACCAACTCATCATAGTAATCCGTGCTCGGGATAATCATAATTCCTGTTTCCTTGGGATGCGTTCTTGATAGTTGCATAAACTTGCGGTAAGTGGTAGCATCGAATCCTAAAAGGACTATTCAGTCACGTGATTCAAAGGAAGCCCATCATTGTTCACCCACCTTGCAGTAGCTTATCCGAGTTGGGGGCCATTGTACGCCAGTGAGCGCCTAAGCAACAACAAAGTATGTCAGCTTTGGAAAGCAACCACCAAAATCACCTTTGCTTTATAGCAGCCGCATTTCTCATTACCTGCCCAAGGCGATGTATACTCAATGTGGAAGTCTCCCGGTTGCCATTGAGCGAGAATGGTGACCTTGAATCCTTTGTCCAAGAGCGCCAATGCCGTCGACAATCCTACGATGCCGGCTCCAACTACAACGACATGCTTGGTCATATCGGAAAAAGAATGCTCTTGTTGCGTTCATGATAGGACCAATTCTATATTGTTCTTACGAGATCTTGTGGTACGAAACAACTCGTTTTGGATATGGTGTGTGGCAAGTTGATTCACGGCGGGTAAATTATCTCATATCATTGTCGTTGCCTCTCTGCATCTTCTGTTGTCAATGCCGATCCTGGTGGTGGTGTTCCATTGTTGTTGATCGTCTGAATCAATGCCGTTGGCTCTGGTGTGGGTGGCGAATCACGCCTTAATAGAGGATGATGCTCAAATGTCATACGAGGGATGGGGGTCGACGGACTTTGCACCTGATCAAGTTGTTCATGCAAGGAATTCATTGTTGTTTGTAAATAGAAAGTTGAGGAGGGAGCAAGCGATGTTAAATAGATGACATGTGTCAATAAAACCCGATGTAGATCTCGGACCTTGTATTCCTAAAACACCCTCAATGTGAATCAGTATCATCAATTGTGTCATAATCCAAAACAAAGATCCAGGGATACAGTATACCCGATGTTGATCCCAAACAATGCAAGTTTGTTTACTCGTCAGTAAATAGAAGCATCCTTTATTACCAAAAAGCCCATTGTTGTGGTGTGTCGTTATTCAATCATCTACCAAGACTCTTTGATAAAGAGCCTGTTGTAGATGCCGCACACTAGTTGTCGGCTCATGCAGGTGTCTGCGCATAATCTTTGTTGACATGGTCAAAAGCTCATCAAGTTGTTGTGCGTATCAAGGATGGCACTTTTTGCAACCTTGAGGATTAGAACGATTCCCACCAAGGAAGAAGACGATCAACTCCCTTCAATTGAAAGAAACAAAGAGACCCTGTAGGTGTTACCATCTCATGCAAAGATTTTATTGTCATGGCCTATGCCTAAACTACAGAATAAAGGGGCTCCTTATTTATCTTAGGCTGTGGCAGAGTGTGGGGTGGGAGTGGTAGGACACGGAGATGTAATTCAAACGGCGTCTATCAGCGCATGATCCCTGTACCTCTTCTCTTCGCTGATTCACCAATGGAAGCCAGGCCTTCGTTACATTGCTGGTGTATGCACCTTGATTGTTGTCGACCTCGTCTTCATTACCTTTGTCAATGGCAGTCAACGCTACGATTGAAGCATGCTTGAAATCGCGCACCTACAAGGACTTGATTACTTGTTTCAAGACGATAGAGTGAGTGTATATCATTTGAATGATTTATTGATGATGTTGACACGTGATCTCCATTGTTAGCTTTGGACTGATTGGAAGGGATGGGATTACGCTTGTTCACAAGAGGTGAAGCTATCGTTGCTAGGTTACTGTGCTGCTGAGACTGATTGTTCTTCCAAAGGCTTAGCAAGGGCAGCGGCATTCTTTGTCCATCGACTACGGAAGGTTTCAGTGGAGTTGGCTCGTGGATAAGGCACATCTACAGGAACGGGTTTACCAAGGAATTCGCACAACCTATCCCAGCCTTCGCCCAATTGCATGACAAGTAGCCTGTCGGCAGGGATCGTCTTTTTCACCCATTCGTTATGATTGTTGAAAAACGCCTTTATCGCTTCCTCATCGGCAAAACGCTCAGCGTCGGCAAGAGCACCATCCATCACCACTGTCCTGGCCATATTCAAAGTTCTCTTCTTGTGGTCAGGCAAGGATGCAAACTCTTCTGGGCTTTGTGATGCAGCAGCTTGGTGAATCGTATTCTTTGCAGACTTGTACCAGCTATCAGCATCTCGCAGCGTTAATATCCATTTGGCATCTGGATACTTTTTCATGAGCGGCTCGATGAAACAAGCAGTGGGCCTATCACACATCATATTCAATTCACTGCTCTCTCTACTATCATCATCATCATCATTACCAATCAACAGCCGCATCATATCCTTCATAAGCTTTATCCCAATCAGCAGGCTTGTCAGGGTTCTTATACGCCTCAAGGAAGACTTCTGGGTGACGATCTTGCGCGAGCAATTCTTTCATATGATGGCAGTTGTAGCTATTATCAATGATCGTGTACTCTTATTAGATGAGATAAAGATATCATTGCTATTGCATTACCCCAAAATGTTGAGAGCTTCACGAAGTGAATCAGTGCCTGTACGGCCACAACCAGCACCAATAACTTGAAGAGGAGCCATAATTATAAGAGATAGGGAAAGGAGAAAGATGAAGGAGGATCCAAAGCAGTAGAGCTTAGGTTATAAATGGTTTTTTACGTTATACAACGTACGATGAGGGGCTCCTGTATCATGTTGACCCGGTCGAAGAAACATGGCTCAATTGTCAATTTGCAGGCGACTGGATCGTTTCTAAAAAAAAAGATGAAGGTGACTCATAGTCCCATGAATCAAGGTTTGTATAGAGGCATGATGATGACAACAGCATGTACGGCTTCTTTTCGACCCGATTGTAAAAGATGTCTGATGACAACAGCATGTACGGCTTCTTTTCGACCCGATTGTAAACGATGTCTGATGACAGGGCGCCCTATACCACAGGCCAGGTGCTTTAATCAGAAGGCTTTTGCTATTGTTTGTTACACACGTTTCATGTTGAAATATGATAAATGAGGCTGAGGATGGCAGGGGTGGCTGTAGGTGAACGTAATAATGGTGGCACGTTGTGGTAACCCAAGCATAGCATGAAGGAGGACGATGGCTTGTTGGCAGGATGGCATTCTTGCTACATATTCAAATTCGACAATGGATGTATACAATGTGTAGGTAGGCTGATAATGCAGCCCCTGGGGAACGATGCTGGATGCTACGTAAGGGAGGATGAGGGATAATCGCATGCGTATAATGCATAACTCAGCTCGGCAGTGTCCTGAGAACACAAGGTATCATACCGATAATGCGCACCTATCAAAACGTTAAACGTATTTCCCTCCACTAAATAAACAATGCATGTGTTATCACATTGTGCTGCTGTTATTGCCAAGGAATCATTTTTAAAAGGTCAGCACAGCCTACAGCAAGCTTAAATGCTGAGCCGACATCAATGACGTTTCTAATAGATGAGGGGTGTCTGAAGACGACAAGCAGCGAGTTGTGCTATTCTCAAATGAAGCATGTCACAAAAGAACGATGCATGAAAATGCTCGTGAGCCCTCATGGTGTCTCATAACGTAGAAAATTATGCTGTGCTACGATCAAAAAGGATGTTGCAGCATTAGCCGGGAATGGGTATACGATCTTTCGCATTAGATGGAACACGGCCAAAAGAATGTCCGATAGTGGATCACGAATTTCGAATATTGCGTCATATGGCGAAATACCCAGAGCAGATATTGGTAACGTCGTACTAAGCGTTTTCTATTACTCAATACAAAAAAAGGTATTTATTCTTTACACAAAGGTCTTTTCAAAGGGCGAAAGTGGTCATATAGTGCTTTTAAGCAGCTGCTGTTTGGTTGTCTTGTTGATGTTTGGCAGGATCAAAGGTTTTCAAGAATTCATTACGGAAATTGGCGGTTGAGTTGGATCGAGGATAGGGCACATCAGGCACAGGCTTGCCGAGGAATTCACACAATCGATCCCAGCCCTCGCCTAATTGCAATACAAGTAATCGGTCGGCAGGAATGGTCTTTTTGACCCATTCATAATGATTCCTAAAGTTTTCCTTCATGGCTTCTTCATCGGCAAAACGCGCAGCGTCGCCAAGAGCACCATCCATCACCACTGTCTTTGCCATCTTGAAGGTTCTTTGTAAGTATTCAGGCAAAGCAGCAATCTCCTCTGGGGTTCGGGATGCAGCACCTTCGTGGATTGTATTCTTTACAGACTTGTACCAGCTATCGGGATCCCGATCGGTTAATAGCCATTTGGCATCAGGATACTTTTTCAAAAGTGGTTCAACGAAGGAAGCAGTGGGCCTATCACATACCATATTCAATCCACTGTTGCCATTTTAATGTTCATGTCTATTCCCTTACCAGTCAACAGCTGCATCAAATCCTTCATAAGCTTTATCCCAATCAGCAGGCTTGTCAGGGTTTTGGTAGGCTTCGAGGAAGATTTCTGGATTACGATCTTGTGCGAGTAGTTCTCTCATATGATGGCAGTTATAGCTATTATCAATGATGTTGTATTCTTATTAGCATCATCTTGACGAGAATAGAGAGATGTCCTTGTTGCATTACCCCAAGATGTTGAGAGCTTCACGAAGGGAATCAGTGCCTGTACGGCCATAGCCAGCGCCAATAACTTGAAGAGGAGCCATGTTATAGAAGATTTGAATGAAAAAGTTCGATATAGAAAGCCGATGAAGATTAACAAGATCCACTTTTATATTATTCTGATCCCGGAGTACGGGGTAATAATTGACCGGGGATATCCTCTCATAGTTGTAATGATCGCCCTTTGCATATGACGGAAAACACGGCCCGACTTTGAGCTCCATTGGGCCAATTGTCAATTCCGGTCGCATGGTTGTCTTACACAATACAAGATGTCTTGTGCGGCTTCTCGGACCGTTTAATTATTGAATCTTTCTTTCCCGATTCATCCGCGCGCGACCTTGGTTAACCCAGCTTTTACACGTTCAAAGTCATTTACTACAAATGATGGGTAAAAGAGCTAAGAAAATGGAGGTACATCATTGATCCATTAGTAGCAAGTAATGCTGATGTTGTGGAGGGATAATAGTATTTGACATCATGCTTCATCATGTTTTATTTGGTGGGTTTGATTGTTGCAGTAGTAGATGAGGATGTATGATGAAGATTAGCTATACGTATCAAGTAAAGTGATCAAGGAGGACTATTCAAGAGATGTCAAGGATTCAAAAGTAGTGAAGCAATAGTAATGGTTGCCATAGCAGTAGCAGGGATTTGGTATTATCTGATCCAATGAGTGGCACAGGGCATGTCCGCCAAGTTGAAAGAGAGCGGGTGAGTGATGACGCAGGCTTGAACAATGAGCATCCACACCCCTGAGTTCTAGTCGGTTGGCTCCCAAAAAAATTTCTCCCCAAGGCGCCATCAAGTTTAGTTGCTCCCTCTCCTTTTCAACACACCACAATGCTCAGAAACGTTGCTCGTGTTGCCCGTCCTTTGTCCATTGCAGCTGCTGCTCGCACTGTTGCTCCTGCTGTAAGTTGATTCCTATTCAAAAATAGCTTACTCTTCATATAACAGCAATCGACTCATTATCAACTCCCCCATTTACACACAACCCCATTCTACTTGCTTACAGGCCCGCTTGAACTTGGGTGCCATCTCGCGCTCTTATGCCACCGCTAAGGCTTCCACCTCTGAAGTCTCTTCCGTTCTCGAGCAACGCATTCTTGGTGCTGAATCTGAAGCCAATCTCCAAGAGACTGGTCGCGTCTTGTCCATTGGTGACGGTATCGCCCGTGTCTATGGCTTGAAGAACTGCCAAGCTGAAGAAATGGTTGAATTCTCCAGCGGTCTCAAGGTAACAACAATCACATCATCATCATCAACAACAAGACACCCTTTTATATTGACACTTCATATTTGATTATTAGGGTATGGCCCTTAACTTGGAACCTGACAACGTTGGTATTGTCGTTTTCGGTAACGATCGTTTGATCAAGGAAGGTGACACTGTCAAGCGTACTGGTGCCATTGTTGATGTCCCTGTTGGTCCTGGTGTCCTTGGTCGTGTTGTTGATGCCCTTGGTAACCCCATTGATGGTAAGGGTCCCCTTGAGACTGTTGGCCGCTCCCGTGTCCAAGTCAAGGCTCCTGGTATCTTGCCCCGTCACTCTGTCAACGAGCCTATGCAAACTGGTATCAAGTCTGTTGACTCCATGGTGCCTATTGGTCGTGGTCAACGTGAATTGATCATTGGTGATCGTCAAACCGGCAAGACCGCTGTTGCCCTTGAAGCCATTCTTAACCAAAAGAACTGGAACAATGGCACCGATGAGGCCAAGAAGCTTTACTGTATCTACGTCGCCGTTGGTCAAAAGCGTTCCACTGTTGCCCAACTCGTCAGCACCCTTGAAGAACACGATGCCATGAAGTACACCACCGTTGTTGCTGCTACTGCTTCTGAAGCCGCTCCTCTTCAATACCTTGCTCCTTTCTCTGGTGCCGCTTTCGGTGAATGGTTCCGTGACAATGGCAAGCACTCTTTGATCATCTATGATGATTTGTCCAAGCAAGCTGTTGCCTATCGTCAAATGTCCCTTTTGCTTCGTCGTCCCCCTGGTCGTGAAGCTTACCCTGGTGATGTCTTCTACCTCCACTCCCGTTTGTTGGAGCGTGCTGCCAAGATGAACAAGGACTTTGGCTATGGTTCCATGACCGCTTTGCCCATCATGTAAGTTGAAAAGAAAAGGATCAATGGGGAATACACGTGTTTTAAAAAGTAACATGTATTAATCAATCTTTGTTGCATATCATCATAGTGAGACTCAAGGTGGTGATGTGTCCGCTTACATTCCTACCAACGTCATTTCCATTACCGATGGTCAAATTTTCTTGGAAGCCGAACTTTTCTTCAAGGGTATTCGTCCTGCCATTAACGTTGGTTTGTCCGTTTCTCGTGTCGGTTCCGCTGCCCAAACCAAGGCCATGAAGCAAGTTGCTGGTTCCCTTAAGCTTTTCTTGGCTCAATACCGTGAAGTTGCTGCTTTCGCCCAATTCGGTTCCGATTTGGATGCCTCCACCCAATTCTTGCTCAACCGTGGTGCTCGTTTGACTGAATTGCTCAAGCAACCCCAATACCACCCCTTGGCTATCCAAGTTCAGGTCCCTATTGTCTTTGCTGGTGTCAACGGTTTCCTCGATAAGCTCCCCGTCAACAAGATCGTCGATTGGGAAAAGGACTTTATCAGCCACATCCAATCTGAGCACAAGGATGTTCTTGAAGAGATCCGCACCCAAGGTGTCCTTTCCAAGGACCTTGAAGGCAAGCTTCGTGACATTTGCGAGAACCACGTCAAGTCCTTCCAGTAAACACTTCAAGTGCTTCTCTCTTTGAATCGTCTTTTTTGTTTCTCCTAGTTTCATACACACACTCTCTCTCCAATCCATGTTTCTCATTGTAGAATGAATGCACAAACAACGATATCGCCCTAGAAACTTGTGTTTTGTAATAATTGATATGTACAATTGTTGTTGATATGAATGTCAATGTGTGGCGGAGTAATGGGCTGAAATGGGATGGCTGAAACAAAGAGAGAGAGAGAGAGGAAAAAAGGTGTCAGCAAAATGGGATGTGCTTATCACCAAACAGAATCAGGCACATGTGTGTTTGTTAAGGGGTGGGCTTTGACATGCATCGACCTTTTAGGCTATTGATCTTCCGTTTCGCAGATTTCCATAGCCCAAATTAGACCATGTTGATGGTCATGGAATTCCATTGACTCTATATTCTTCCTCTTTTATTGCTTCTTCCATAATAACGTGATCGACCAAATACTCTCTACTGCTTTGGGGTTTAGCATGGATCGTGGCTTTTCACTATAATTATTCCATTCCCAAAGGATTGGTGCACGTTCAAAGCCAACAAGCTAACTTTCCATTTCATTATCTTCAATAAAGGTACCAGACCAAAAATATGCCCAAAGCATAACATTTGTGCTTCCAGACCAATGCCAAGTAACAATATGGAAAATGAGGTCAACCAGGAATCAGCCGTATTATGCACACACGTGGCTGGTGCAATGCATATGGTTGTGTGTGCCGGCAAGAGATCATGTATATTTTCACCAGGGCTATGCACATCTCTATCGCCACAAATAAATCTAGTCGTCATAACCATAGTCGGCCATTCCGGGAACAAATGGTCAAGGAGAAGTGCCGCAGGAAGAAAAAGCAACATAGTTTTGTGCAACACGGATCCGAAAACAGTCGTGGATGTACCAGATTCTCCATACTTGAGCATTTTGCTAAATTTAACATCGTAATTGGGTCATCATCTTTGGATCAGCTATAAAAGAAGAGAATTACAACACCCTTCTTTTTCGAGAACTTCAAAGCAAGGTTTTTCATCCACATGTATTTTTCCACCAAAAGTCGTTTTTCGTCAATCGCAGCAGCCCTTATTTGTATGGCCTCTGTAGCCCAGGCACAGTTCCAATTCAAAGATACATACCCCACTCCACGATCGATCCCTACCATAAAACCAGAATGGCGTGATTTGATTGCCAACGCCTCTATTACCAATGCCCCTATTCGCACTCGCACACCAGATGGCAGTATGTATATGATTGAACCCCACTTTGAGCAAAAGGACAAGTTGTTGATCTATGTAAACTTTGATATTATAGATGTTGACATGAGCACAGTAACAAATGATCCTTACTGCACATGGTCGTTTGATCGTTGTATCGCTAAGGACGACTTGTACACATGCCCCACTGGTCAATACTCTGTAACCTTTGACGATGGTCCTTCTGAATTTAGCCCAAAGCTATATGATTACCTAAAGTCGATCAACGTGAAGACCACCTTTTTCATGGTGGGTGGTCAAGTATTGACACACCCTGACTTGGTGAAACGTGCATACGATGATGGACACGAAATTGCTATGCACACTTGGTCACACACTGCCATGACAACCCAAAGCAATGAAGAAATTGTTGCCGAGCTTAAATGGAATGAACAAGTTATTCGTGAAGTTCTTGGTGTTTCTCCTCGATTCTTCCGACCAGTAAGTTACATATTAGTAACCCCCTTCTTTCATGTGCAAGTTGATTAACCCTCTTCCCCCACCCCGTTTAGCCTTTTGGAAACATTGACAACCGAGTGCGTGATATTGCCAAGGCCCTTGGCTTTGTTCGTAAGTAGTTCTTTAAAAACTTATATCCATTCTTTGTGCTCATATCTTTATTGCAATAGCTGTAATGTGGACGCATGATACATTTGATTGGGGGTTGACAGCACCAGGAAGCACCTTTAACGTGCAATGGATTTCCAACAATATCACTGAATGGGGTCGAACGAATACTACTGAAGGTGGCGTTTCTCTCTCTCATGATCTCTACAACAGCACAGTCGATGCTGCTCTCAACTATATTCCCGTGTTCCAGAATTATTATGATCTCACCGCCGTGGGACAATGCAACAATGCTGCACCCTATAAAGAATCCAATAGCACCACCTCCTCAAAAGATGGCGTTTCGCCTGCTGGAGATGAAAGCGCTGCTGCTGCACTCATGGCTACCCCATCTTGGGTCTTCCTTTTGTTCACCATGATCCTCAGCCGTTTCCTATAGCATCCTCAAAAGCACATTCATCATGCATACATACTGCATTTATCATAAAATAAATTTATTCTTTGTTGTATCCATCACCTCTTATTCTTCTAACGACGATCTTTCTCCTCTCTTCTTCGTTCCATGGTCGATTCAATTTGCTCCACAAGCCATTGACAGCTAGTAGTCTCCGAGATACCAATGACAACGGGGTCTCTACCATCCTTAAGTACGACAACAAGGCCTTCTGGTTTGGATGTGCATTCCTTGATATTATCCAAGCGTACTTCCAATTCGACATCAAGCTTGCGTGTATTGATCACCAGTAAGCGCTCATATGTCAAAAGGACCATGTTTTCGTCACGATCGGTTGCACAGTGCGCCATATAGATGTCATGATAATATTTGCCGCTTGCCAAATCCTTGAGCCACATTTGTCCAAGAGATTCACGTTGTGAGAAAGGCTAAATAGCAATAATGAGCATACCATCCAGCAGCCGTATTAAAGTAAAACTCATGCTTACTCTCAAAATGTGATCCATTGCAATGTATCGCGGCAACCGTTCTCGACCGATATCGTTTGCATCAAACACTGTCGTCGTCTCACGTACACCAGCCGTGACATTACTTGCCAAATCAAACACACCAACCAAGGGCTTGGTTACCGCACCCACGAGACCACGACCAATGCCACCTGCAAAACCAATGACTCCTCCTTCTTCTGCACCTTCGATGGGTCGTTTCTAATAAAAGACAATCAGCTTTTCAAAACAAAACACCGATTATTAGGTCGCATTGTACACATACCACAAGACCAGCAACACCACTTGCTATACTGGATCCAAAATAGGTGGCTCCTTGCGTGATACCATATACTGCATGGCGTGGTTTGTTGCGATTGTGATTGATCCTGCGTCTGTCTTGGAACTTTTTATCCATGGTAGCAACCGATAGACCTTGTATAGTCCTCGTTAGATGATAATCCCTTCTTCCCATATTTCATTTGCATACCTTTTCCTATGCTTCCTGTGATACGACTCACACTATCGGTCACGCCAAAGACACTCTTTTTCATAAAGCCGCCCACACCCTATCATGCATTCCGTTAGCTTTGTCACTTTTGATGCTGCAGTGATGATAAAACCTACCCTGGCAATACCAATGCCTAAATCTTGGGGTCGATCGCTCATGATAAAACCTTGATATGGTTCATAAAATAGCTCACCGAATCCAGAGCTAAGCGTAGAGAATAATCCAACAGGGTTGCCCAAAAAGTCCACACTACCCAGGACCTTGTGTACTTGGAAAATGACTTCATCTCGATAATGCAATGTGATTCTTTGCATGAGGTCGCTGCTACTCACTCGCAGGTTCTCGACAATCAATGCGTTGAGTTTGATTGGTGCATCCTGATGAACAAGAAAAGAGCGTCAACATGATGACCTTTGATTCCTCAATTTAATTTACTTACATTGACGTTGCCAATAGTCATTGTGAATACGTCGAACGCATAGCGGAAAGGAGAACGACCCGTTTCTTCACTATTATGTAACCCGTGATCAATCAAACAATGAAAGCGGATAAGTAAACAATGAAAGTTACCTCGCCTCTGCAGCATTGAGATGCTCCGTTCGCATAAATGACAAATTGAGTCGCATTGGTTGGATACAGAATTCTTGGAAGTAGTATAGCGCGGGCACCTGCTGGCATTCTGGTTCCGGTATTTCTTTTTTGAATAGTGTTGCGTCCCTATGAACAAAGGCTACAGGGTTAAAAGGTGCCATAACAATCACGCAAAGTAGTACGTACGTGATGGCCTGGCTTTGTTGAGTAGATGCAAATTGTGTAAACTCGAGTAGACAGTATAAAAAGTCCTCGTCCATCTCAAATGTCATTTCTTGCAGCAGGAGCGAGAAGAGCTTGAAGTTGTATACACCATGTGCTAAAAATAACCACATCTCAATCAGTGTACGGCTCGCAATGGATTTCCAGGGCATACATCTTACCATCATCTTTGACTAAATCAAGTGCAAGGTGGAATGTCGGCGTTTGATCATCCACGCTGTTTTTGGGAAGCGTGGTAGGATAAAAGAGAATCGGATAAATCGATCCATGGAATTGATTGTCAACCTACAATGCAGCCAAAGTTAAGAGCGCTATACTCGGCCATCATTTCTTGGCATCACCTACCTGTAACCACTGAATGCTAGTGCGGATTGATTGGTATTGATTGGAATCCGTATACTTGAAGCGTACATCTCGTATCGTTGCATAAGCCATTTCCTGCCATCATAAATACGTTGAGCGTATGTACATTAAAAAGTATACCAGCAAATGTACCTGAACACGCTTGTTGATAATTGAGATGCCAATGTTTGCGAGGTTGAGTTCAAGCGAAAAGTTCACAACATGATTGATGCTGACAGCTTCGAATGTGTCACGTAAACTTCCTTCTCGAGAGCTTGATGCTGCTGTAGATGTCGCAGACGACTTTGGGCGGAACGGGCTGATGTTGCTGTCAAAGTCGGTAAGTCTCAATTGTAATGCCGAATCCACTGCCACAATATCCAAGGACATGATGCCAGGACCAATGGATTGTCCAATTTGTGCTTGTTGTTGTTTCTATGATACAAAGAAGAACGTCAATGGCAACTCTCGATTTACAAAGCATACAAGGCTACAAACCTTATATCGAATTGGTACTTGTGTGCCAATGGCTTGGAAGTTGACGCTGCTCGTTTTGCCATAAATGTTCAGCTTGAGACGTTTCTCATGCGCCACTGGCATACACCATGAATACGCCATTCGTTCACCAGGTTGTAGCTCAAATACACGTGGCGATGGGATGGCTTTCTTTTGACGATTGCTCAACTTGTACTCTTCCATCCCTATGGCCTAATAACAAAATGTAAGATACCTCATCTATAATACGAATGGCATTACATACCTCTTGGGAGAAGGCCACTGGTACACTGGATAGATTGACAATACCATACGGCCATGCTTTCTCGGTTTCCAAAAAGACAAAGATAGTCGCTTCCTGCATGACAATGGAGACTCTCACAAGAAGGGGTATCGTTTCTTGTCGGCGAGGATGCTCAAGCTTGATGTAATTGTCACCGATTTGTTGCAAGTCAAAAGGCGCGGACCTATATAATGCCAATGTTAGCCATATCGTGTACCTTTTTCTCCGTTTCCATGCTTACCATATACCACCTTCTTGATCCAGACGTAACGAAAGCCATCGCACACTTGACTTTGAAAGATGGAATAAGGATTGTTTATCACCGGTTGCAATCGTCTTCGCTTCTTCATCCGAGGCAAACTCGCGATATCGCACATCGACACCAAGGTTGTTCTTCAATATGAAGCGTGGTGCTATAGTAACTAGCTTCGACATGTGGTACTACAAGGAAATTTACATACGTCAATGAGCTTGAGGTAAATTATTTGTGTTGCAGGGTACTTACAATCCCTGTGCCTTCTTGTACATGCACACCAATATGGACTTGTTGGCTACTTTGGGTGGATTGCAAAACAATGTCTTGTACACTGCCAACAGCTTCGAAACTGAGAGGCTATATCAAGATCGTTAATACCGTAAATCGACATTTGTTGGTATGATCATCATCTTTACCTCGCTCATCTTTGATTCATTGACCGATATTTGAACGCGATTACGTCTATCCATCTCAGGGAATGAGAACATGAATGGTGTGACCTAGGATAGAAATTATTAGCTTAAATCATCTCATTCCTTTTTCCACCAAATACCTCTGCAGACCCATCAAATGCATCAATGGTGTATGTTGGATGTTTGGATTGTCGATAGCTCATACGCGACCTGATAGCAACGGGGAATCCGGTCTTATTCAAGACGAGATATGGTGCACAAATATTGATCCAAAGAGCATCGCTTGTTTTCCGTAGGCGTCTAAATCATGTTTTGTCAATATTGTCCTTGGAGAAAAATAAACATAGTACTCACGCAACATGCATCATCAAATCAAGTGGTGGGTTACTTCCGTCATTGCCAAGTCGTATTTGCTGGGAGACTGTGCCATCATCTGCAGTATCCAACTTGATGTCCACAAAGTCACTAGGCGCATATACTAAAGCAGCGTAAGCATACAAAGCATGTGTATTATCGTTCCACCCTTAAATGTGATAATTACCTGTATCTTGGACGTGTATACTTAAAGCCACGTGATTGTCGCTGTTGATGTGGTGCACATAACCAATCTCTCCTTTGGACACCTTTCCAGAGAATAGATTTCCTTCGGTTTTATCCTCGATGGTGTAATTAAAGTCGAATGGAAGCTCGTTCTTGACTTCGATGGGTGCACCAAGCTGCACAGTCATGTTTGGATAAGCACTATAAGAATGTTAGATGATACTGTATGCCTTCAACAGCAGCACCTTCATCCCCATCATAAGCATACCGTGCAATAGGATTGAGCTTGTCAAAGACACCCTGAACTTGGAAATAAAACACGTTGTCGTCTCTTTCCAGCGGCTTGCATGAAATCAGCTTGGGGCCCTTTGGATGTGTAATATCGGTCCAATGCAATGCCGGGGAGCTCCACTCATATCGGTCTTCATACAGGAAAAATTAGGAAAGGGTAAAAATACATGGATTAAAAGGCTTACCATTTGGACGAGTAACCAGCCAGCTGTTGTATGTCTTTGCAATAGGTATAGCAAACTCATTTCCTGGTTCTAAATAATGGATGAGTATCTCCAATTGCTTCATGTAAGCCATATCATTCCCCTACCAATATGCCAAATTTCGGATACTCGCTTGCTCTTTGCGGCATTCGTTAAAGCAAGCTGCATAGGTTCCAGTGTCTGATTCATCACCAACAACCCACTGCGGAATGTCACTTGCTTGACATGATTCTTGAGCTTGATATCCACCACTAAGCGATGCCTGATGCCGTCGACTTCATCCTTCATACGATATGTGTGCACGCCTTCTTTATCCAAGGACACATGCTGTACGCTCTTCCAATTGAAAGCTTCGACATGAACACCAAGCAAATTCTGACCAGGATGGCGTCTCTGCAAACCCATATGTTAGGTTATTGTATATGATTTGGACGAGCATACGCTTACCTCTCTACGTCGTTTCCAATCTCTGAATGTCCATGGCATCTCCTCACCATCCTTGAGAGCGTGTTTGTTGGATCCAATGTCACTCACACCAGCATCGTCGGACATGTTCCAGAATTGCAAATCATAGCCAGTGCAGTTACGGATCAAATAAGGACGCATGTGCTTTTGAGCATTTTCAGGAAGAGGTGTCTATTGAAAAAGTAGGGTACACATCAATATAGCACTTTTTACAAGCCATGAGCACTTGAAATCCTACCTGTGCTTGGACCATGGTGTCCGAGATTGAGAGTAATGTTTCCAAAAAGTTGTGCGTAACATCCAAGTTGAGTGATTCTTTGGATTCGATCTTGACCGACATGGCTTTGGTAGCTGGGTCCTGTGCTGCTTTGATACCAAATCCCCAAGGTTCAATGACTGGTTCCCAATGTGAGTTCCTGAAATTAAAGCTGGATGCCGCAAAGGTGAAGAACATATCCGCAGAGAGCTAGAAATGAACAATCGTGTAAGTATCATTCATACAAGGATGTACACTTAATGACTTACAGCACTCGACCAGTCCGATGCATTCACAGTGAATGGTTGCAAAGATGCATCAATAAATGGAAGCTCATGGAGGTCTTCGATAAGTGTGAATTGTAATCCTTCAAAGCGTGCTTTCAACTAATGATTCAATGAAAATGGAGAACATGTTAGCCATACGCTCACAAGGCAATGATGAATGGGTATGCATTACCGATTCCTTTGACATCACAATATAGGGCTCAATCTTTTGCAATTGATTCGTGTTCGATGATCCCCACTGATTCTCCATGCCATTGTCTTCTTGTTCCTGTTGTCGCGATTGATCATCGGATGCAGCTATTGGCAGGGCACCATTGTTGTTATTCACCGATCCGTCATCAAAACCTTGAGCACCTGGTGGAGGTGCAGAGTTGGATCCCATCAATGCAAGTGCCTTGTTGACGATATCCATTACCAGCATGGCGTCCTGATACGAGATACGAACAATGAGCGGTTGGACATCGACTTGTAGCATGGTGATACTGCAGCCAGGCATATTCGAAGACGTTTCCCATTTCAAATCCACATCGAAATTCTGAATAAAAGGAATAGCAGATCCTTTGGGGCTATCCATGCGACAAAGCACCATACCAATGCTATCAAGCTTGCATACCAATGACTCTTGTTGAATCGCTGTGAGTTGCTTAAATGAGAGGATCACCGCTTCAGAAGAATGAGACTCTGGATTGGCCAAACATGCAAGTTCCACATCCACAATGTTGACATTATAATGCAGCTGCATGGGATTCGTTTCTTGTTGTTGTTGTTGCTGCTGCTGTTGTTGTTGTTGTTGAGATTTGATGGAACGCTGCGAAGGGTTGACAGCTGAAGAAGCAATCGATTGCTTACGACCTTTGGATGAATCATCATTTCCATTCGTATATCGCTCACGTTGCGACTTTGCAAATGCTTGGGCTTCAGTCGTCGGCTCTGGTGAGAATGGCTTCATGAAAAAGTCGACAAGCAAAAAGACGTAGTCGAGTGAAAGCACCACCTTGGGAGAATCAACGGTGGCAGATACTGACATGATTTGTTGCTCGTGTTTAGCCGGCATCCGTAATTGCACTTGAAATTGTGGGCCATCCACATGGGAGGGTGTCATGATTTGGCGGAATTTGGATGATGATGTTGCACGTGTGTCGATGAAGGTGATTGATCCCATTTGTACTTCAAGTAACATCGATGCATCTTCCATCGTTTGCATTGACATGCTCGTATTGTTGAATGCAAGTTCGGCAATTCGGTGTTGATCCCATTCCTTAGGGTCTGCATCTGATCCAGCAAGAAGTTCCAAACGCACCATGTTAAGGCTCATGGTCATAGCAAGTTGGATTGCATTGGTGCTTTTTGGTGGTACAGCTCGTTCTTTTTCTTTTTGCTGTGGTCGTGGTTGGCTACGTACGGACGCTGAATGGAAGCTGAGTCGATCATCTTGGATATCATTCATCTCTTCTTCATTGCCACCACCACTCATGAACGTTTCCATAAGGTTGTTGTAGATATCCAATAGCCACTTGTATTGCCTCTCAGTGAGTGCCATTCGAATATCAGAAACCGTACCAGTGATTCGAGTAGCTGGTCCCCACTCTGGTGCTGGTGTCTCAGGGCTTTCAATCAAAAAGGCAATATCCAAGTCGTCAATGATAGGTAATGACAGCTCACGTAATTGGGTGCCACCATCACTTGAAGTAGTACTCGTGGAATAAGATCGTAGGCTGATATCATATAAACCGCAACGAATCCTGCTGACCGAAATATCACGAGGTGCAGATGTCATATCCGTGTGCTTACGACGAGTCACTTGAGTAAATTCATTGGCTGCTCGAATCTCACCCAAATGCGCAAGGATCATATCACCGTTGTCGCTCATTGGGAAAATTACAACAGGGCTCTTGATAGCCACATCAAAGTGCATACGTGAGTTCGTCTCTTGCTGTTGCTGGATCTGCTGAGCCGCAGCTTCACGAGCAGCATCATACACCGTTTTCATCTCCAAGAACTCACTCAAATAATCAAGGATAGGCTTTGTCGAATCAAGCAGCTTGAATTGAAGTGCACCCATTCTCAAGTAAAATTGGGATTCATATCCAGGGTACTCAGGTGCAGCAGGATCGTAGGTCTCGTATGAAAAGTCGGCAAGCTCATCTCCCTTGATACTTAGCATATACACTTCGGATGCTCCATTCTGCTCATTGGTAGGTCCCACCGCACTGTCGTCTGTCAAAGTGAAGTTGCCAAATTTTCCTTCCACCTTGAGCGTATTGGGATACAATAGCACTTTGAGATCGCCATAAGACAAGACACCAGTGCCGAGTCGTTTGCCATCATCATTCAAAATAAGCGTCAATGAATCCATATGTATATCCACCTTGATTGTATTGCTCGAAGCGGGTGCGTTTGCTGAAGCTTGTGTTGCGCTCGTTTTGTTTGCAGAGCCTTGTGATAGGCGACGTGATGATGATTGCTGTTGTTGCTGCTCATTATCACTCGGGCCAGTGAATGTTGTCAAAATGAAATTGTAGAGTGTCAACAATGAGCTTCGTGTCACGATAATGTTGAGCGTTGATAATCCGATTTCTACTGTTTGGTCGAAACCTTGGTAAATTTCTTGATAGAGTGGATGAGAGCGTTTGGCCTGGATGTACTTGACATTGACGAGGTTGCCAGTTTGCTGTCTAGTGCCACCAACTGCATTGGATGTAACAAGGTAATGAAACTCTTCACCATGCTCCATATCATCAACAACATTGAGTGTCTTCAACGAAACATTGACAACCATGTCATAGGGCCGCGATACGAAATCCAAATAAAATGTCTCCAAAATAAGCTCACACAATAGCTTGTCATCGCCTTCATCCGATGCCTCATGCACAGTAGCAGAAACCTTGTCCACCGTAAAGGTAAATCTGAAATCTTCATGCTGGTAATGGTTGCTCATCACTGCAAATGATCCTGTAGCACTCGATGGTGTTGCAAGTGTTGTCGTGTTTGTATCCACAGATTGTTGGCTTTGAGATCTCCATGATGGGCTCGAGCTGGATTCACTTTCTGCATCTGATATAAGAAGATCATCCTTGCTATTCCAGGTTGTTTGACCGAGGAAGAGAGATTGCTTTCGCTGCTGATTCGAGGAAATAGGTGGTGTCTCAATTTGAGCTGATTGATCATCGCCAGAAGATATGCTGCCCAATATAAGATCGATCATGCGCATAAGCACCTTGTACTTTGCATCCGAAATGTTGACTGATAACAATGGAAGATGTCCAGAAATTTTGAACTTTGTAAATTGTGATGCACGTTGCAGGATACAAAGCTCGACAATGAACGTCATGTCGATTCGCTGAATAACGTAATCTTGTCCTACTTCATCTTGTTGCTGCTGCTGCAGACATGCTTGAACATCTTTCCCAATCAATAGCTTCGTTTGTGTCAGCTGAACATGGAACTTGTCGTACATCAAGCTCTGTAAACGCTGATAATCCTCTTTGCTGATCTTTTTGCCCTTGTATTCATTAGCCAACTCGTGATTCGCCAAGTCGCTGTCGATACGAATGTGTCCGGCATCAATAATCATGCAAGGAGTATGCTTCTGGGTGCAACTAAAGCAAAGCTATATCAATACAAAGTATGTATATACGCCTTTTCGAGTACTTACCTTTCGGGTATAATGATGAGGGGTGCATCCATGTCCATATCCACTGCAAGGGTTGTATGCTGATTGAGAGCATATTCTAAACCAGTCAACGTTTGCTGTTTGAAGCCTTCCAACGATTCACCAGCCGCTTCAAGTAAGGCATTGATGCTTTCAGACTTGTTCTCTGGAGGCTTGAAAAAGTCAAGAACACCACGTACAATGGCTGGATTGAATATGATTTCCAAACGACGAGACTTGAGCTTGATTGCATTGTCAGCGATATTGTTGAATGGCTTGTGATCCAGCACGGCGTATAGTAAAGGCTCCTGTGTGTCGCTCTCATCATCATGCGTGGTATTATCAATGGATCTAAATAGCCCGTATACATGTAAGCAACTTTGGCTATAATAAAAGCAACCGCGACATACCTAATCTGATCGCCTTTCCTAATACCAATCAATTGAGGATATAGGGTATTCGGGGTGATTCCATCGTACAATCGAAGATCCCTGAGACCAACAGCAATCTGGGAGGATTCAATGTATTGGGTAACACCAACTGTAACCGTGTCAAATACGAGAGATGCAAGATCTTGGCGTTTGGCGGTGTGAGAATACTGCATAAGTGAAAGCGATCCTCGTTTGAGCTCCGTATTGATTTTGAACTTGATGGTCTGTAGCAGAATTGATGATAAGCACATAGGCAAGCTTTGAACACAAAGGGAGACTTACATCTTTGGGCATATCAACAGCTGCTGCTATAGCTGCTTTTTCCTCGTCATAGTCAATCGCATCGTATAGCTCGCGCTTTTGATCTTCAGTCATCACCAAAGGTTCATCCTCCTAATTAAAAACCAAAGAATAAATATTCACGTTGCCTGGATACGGTATCCTGCCCACTTACTCCTTCAGGACTTGACTTATCGGAAGATGAACCACCATACCACCACGAACTGAACCATCCTTTGTTCTCGCTTTCATTCTTCTTCTTCTCTTGCTCTAAGTGATGCATGATGGTGATTAATATGGGATAGAACATAGATACGAGAGAGCAAAGTATATACCAATTTTGATCTTCTCTCGCTTCAACTGGTTCTTGGCAAGGCTGCGATAAAATCGGATATCATCAAAGCTAAGGATGCGCTCCAGCTCGGCTAACTTGTCCTCTTGTTCTTGAGTAGCCTTCTTTGTCTTTGAAGCCACATAGCATTCAATGTAGGCACGCCGCTGATCTCTTCGTGTACGAAAATGATCCCAGGTCCATTGATAGTTACGTTCATGGATCTCTGACAACACTGCACTTGTAGCAAACTTCCAATACGCACGTGGGTTGAACTTCTTGTCAGCATTGTATTCAGGATGGAACTTGAGATACTAATAAAATACGCAAAGATGTGAGTAGAAATTCATTGCATTGGTCCCCCTCCCCCAAAATCCTCCTTCTACCTTTTGCTTTTTCAAATTGATATGGAAAAGGTCGACAAGGAGCAAGGCATCTCGATACTGATGGTCGTCGAGGCACACACCGAGCTCATCGAATAGAAGCGTGATGTCTGTCTTTGCTGTATCTCCACCAAATTGCTTATTCAGCTTCACCTATAATGCAGTTATGAGTATTTCAAGAGTGATACGATGAAATCAAAAGCTTACTTTGCCAGTGCCTGATACCGGCTTGAGAATGTATTGATGATCTTTGGGGTCATTTGAACCATCAGGAATCTTTCAAATCAATGTATCAGTATACGTGTTTTGGATCGGTCGTGTAAGCAAATAAGGAATGCCGACTTACCAGATCGGTATAGATACGTGATGCTTCTTCGTGGGGAAGGCCTGCAAGTGATTTGGCGTCGGTGTTCCAATAAACAGACAGCGAGTGTAACGTAGCCAGCTACAGTGTTAGCATGAATCCCGCACATTAGTTTCACCAGCATTATGGATAATAAACCCACTCCATGTTTACCTTATGAATGGTATTGGTCATCTCGCTAATAAATGTAGGATTCCATTGTCCATCGGTAGAAACAGCTGATAACTCTTTGAGCGTGATTCCAGCAGCAAATGGATGGCCTGGATCAGAAACGTTGTCCTCAAATCGTAAATGGATATTCTTGATAGAAACTTGTAGATTGTCAATGACTTTGGTTGTCAGCTGGCTGAGGAATCCATCGCCTTCTTCAGATGTCTGCTGATCTTTGCCATCCTTTTGTTTTTCTGGTCGTTGTTGCGATAATAACTCTGCGGTAGCCAAACGTCGCTGCTTGAGTTGTTGAGCACGTTCTTCTTCTTCCTCTAATGACAGCTGACATACAAATCATTAATGCTAGTACGGTATATTTACGTCACTCGAACACCATCCATTACACCACACATACCGTTGCTTCACTTTTGGGAACGGCAAGCAAATAAACATTTTCAATGAACACCTTGACAGGCTTCGTCTTCAAGTTTGACCATGGAATGCTCAAGGTTAGCTCGCCCAAGTATCCTTTAAAGTAGTGCGACAAGAGAGTCAATATCGGCTAAACGCATATTCCTTCCCGTATAACCATAATACCTTCCAACACGTCGATAGGCAAGTCAAGTTTATCCAGTGCTTCTCGCCTCAGTTTGAGATCTCGAAGATTTGCTTCTCCTGAGAATGGTTTAGAAAGAAGCTATCGTTAAAGAAGGTCCAATGACGAATAAACCAAAAGAGACCATATTGAATGGCATTTCTCTCATACCTTTCCAAACACCAATGTTAAGCTGGTCATAGTTGAGGTTGGATACATAATTGCCGAGGAAGCGATTGAGAATGGTTGCCACCAGTGATTCCAACATTGTGTGTCGCAGGTGAAACCAGGCCACGGACTACAGTTGCATGCAACGCGCTCGAAGTAGCATTGTCGAAATCGAGGTCCGAAACTTGTCGCCATGCTAATCCAGAATTGATCAGCATTATCATCACATCCCAATATGACATACATACTTTTGAGTGTCGCGTACAAGCCTTCCAAGCTTGGCATCATAAAGCATGCATCATCAACCAACAGCAGCAATATAGTAGGTACGTTCTGATCAATAGAGTCCACCGCAAATCAAGTACATAGACCGCCATCATCCTCATAATGCCATGAGCCTAACGTATACAAATCAATATTATCGAACCATGATATCTTTGCGTTGTTTCATTTCTTTCATACCTGTCCATCCCAAAATGCCTAATGTGAATGATTATACAAATTAAGTGAGTGGCCTTCCCATGAAGTACAAATAAAAGCCGTTTACTTACACGCGCAACAACCGCACATCCAAAGAAGATAGCCATAGGGTGATGTAAGGTGACGCCCTACAACCAAAAGCTTCCATTAATCCTTGATCACAAATACAAAACGCCATTGCATCCATCATGCTACTTACAAAGAAATCCAGCTTTGGCAATACCCAGAAAGAACCATCCATCCACTTTCCCTATCCACTGTACGCATGAAATTTTAGTATCACACCGGATGACGCCCCACCAAAAGAATCGATGCCTTGGGATTACCACGTTTGAATATGAAGCTACGAGGGAACTCGGCCAAACCTGTGGCATAATTGACATGGCATTAGCACTAGTACGCGTTTGATGTCATGGGCCTGTATGCAAGAGAGCGAACTTACCATAACAGATAAAGGTATGATTTGCTGTCACCTCTACTATAGGGCTCGGAAAATGGCAACGCTTAAGAGACAAAATAGACCTTCATGACACCAAAGAGTGTGCTTGATGGGATGATCGACCTGTGTATATGTACATTACTAATAGTACATAGTTGACCTTTGGGGTTGCGAGGGATACCTAGCAAAAGCCATATGCAAATCGAACGTGCTTGGATAACGAGGACACCAGATGATAGGATAAAGCTTGCTGACACCAAAAGTGCATATTGATGTTTGTTGTTGATACGATTCACCCATAAGAAATTGGCGTTACGAAGCAAGGAAATCATAGGCCCTAGAATGATTGAGCCGCGCGATCAGAAGATGCATATTTAAGTCCAAGCAGCATCGTGAAACTCACCCATTCCCGCTAACACAACATGGTTCTCTCCCTTAGACAGCACACTACATTGGCTTCCTTGGCGTGCTCTCATGATGAAGTAATACTGCCGAACGAAAACTTGCTACCCCATATCTTTTTGTAAGTTCACTTGAATCCCGCCAATTCCAGGATGATCCCTTTACCTTGAAGTATCTTTCAATACCATTGGTACTGCAAATAATCTTGTATCCAATCGATCCAGTATGTGCTGCTGCTGTTTCATTGTAAGGTTCGTTAATCAACAAGTCTTGCGTTGTAGATCCAATATCATGCATACCATTGATTCAACGTACAGCATTCTTGCTTTGATATCAACATTTTGTAGCCGCCACAGGAACCATCATCCAGCGTGCTCAAGCTAGAATAAATGCAACGTAAGATAACAAGAACAGCATGCGCTTTTCGTGTTAACATACTCAAAGGAACAATGTGAATCGCTCTTTGTGTGGTAGCCATGGAAAAACACCCACACGACACACGACGCCCCCTTGGATCCTGTATAAACCAGACAACCGTAACTAGACACAACTTTTAGTGCCACAATGTCCAACTTGAGTGATAAAAGGAATGCAGCGATTGAACGTACTTGCTGTATTGCAATGGAAGTTGGAGTCGTGGGTAGATCGCGCGCGTAGTTGTTGTTGAATGTCTGCAACTGGAAAGTGTCGCCATTGACCACATGTTCAACCCAATGAACGCTGTACATTGAAAGAAATGCCAGTTGTGAATGCGCCGTGGTATGTAAATGGAAACAAGTTTACCTTGCCTTGTGAAGTGGAAGTGAAGGAGAAGGGGCTCTTTGTCTTCCCTCTCTCAATTTGTGCACCACCACCCCGCCTGTTACAGTAGCTGCTGTGAACACCTATCTCGATCATGTCCTATACACTTAGGTCAGTCATAACGACCACTACTCGACATCCAATAGAGGATAATCCTTGTAATTAAGCTACTCATTTTTACTGTGGATTGGATCGGCGTCTACTACGTATCAGGTCCGTGCACATCAATGCAGCTCAACTCCTGAACTTGTGCAACCAATATATGTCTCGCCTACCAAACATAGAACAACATAATATCCCTGTATAAATTCATTGTCATTGTCATAATGAATAGCTTTTTCATGTTTGGATTCTGTTTGCTTACCTTCCTAAAAGGCATCGTCACCCATTTGTGCAGCAACCTGTCAAGGACGCGCGTGTGTAACCACCACGTGCCATTTCACTCAGCTCTCCATCTTTCCGTTAATGCAACCGACACCATCCACTAGGAAAAAGCAACTCCATCACGTTTACAGCATAGGTAAAACATAAAGGTGCCTGTATCTCAACACTTTACAATGAAACGTGGGGTTTTGAATATAGCAATGGGCTCGGCTTGGCCAACAGCACCTTGTGTGAAAGTTTCGTGTTCAATGTCGCAAACAGCCCAAAAAATATTTTTTGGTCGTCGTCGTCGTCGAAGAGGTCGACCCCCAGATCCAGTTTGGCTGGTACCGACATTGCGAAATCTGGGATTGGCAAGCTTGATCGTGAAACTTTCACACAAGGTGCTGTTGGCCGAGCCGAGCCCATTGCGCTAATAAAAACCCCACGTTTCATTGTAAAGTTCGGAGCTACAGGCACCTTTATGTTTGTAAGCGTGATGCTATACGAAGAGTGGTCTTTGTTCATTGTCAAGTAGGTGGACCCTGGCAGAGCAAAAGATGCAGAAGGACCTCTTTGGGTAACTCAGCTAAAAAGTCAGGACTTCAGGGGCAATGCATGACAGGTACGCAACCCTCCCTTTTATGTCATACATTGGCAGCTAATAGCCACTTTTGTGCATTCCCAACTTTTGTGCATTCTATTGTAGGTGGACGATGCTCCTGCTCTAGACATTCATTTCCATGATTAAAGTAGGTTGATCCGAGCTGATTTGGTTGAGTTACGCTCACACAAGGTTACATCGGTTGAGCTACATCGAGCGTACTCTATGTCCAGAGTGATGTAATCTCTCTTTGACCGTAGCTCAGTCAAATCAGCTCGGATCAACCTACTTTAATCATGGAAATGAATGTCTAGAGCAGGGGCATCGTTCCCATGCAGTGGATCTCGCAACAATGATGATTGGATAAAAGTGGCCGTTAGCTAGCAATACATGCCTGTTCCCAGATGATCCATAAAGTATTATACATTGACCCTTTCATTCATGCAAACGTAGCTGTGTTACACAACACGACCCTCTGCATCTTTGGCTCTCCAGGGTCTAGCTACTTGACAATGAACAAAAACCACTCTTCATATAGCATCACGCTTACAAACATAAAGGTGCCTGTATCTCCGAACTTTACAATGAAACGTGGGGTTTTTATCAGAGCAATGGGCTCGGCTTGGCCAACAGCATCTTGTGTGAAAGTTTCGCGTTCAATGTCGCAAACAGCCCAAAAAATATTTTTTGGTCGTCGTCGTCGAAGAGGTCGACCCCCAGATCCAGTTTGGCTGGTGGCGACATTGCGAAATCTGGGATTGGCAAGCTTGATCGTGAAACTTTCACCCAAGGTGCTGTTGGCCAAGCCGAGCCCATTGCGCTAATAAAAACCCCACGCTTCATTGTAAAGTTTGGAGATACAGGCACCTTTATGTTTGTAAGCGTGATGCTATATGAAGAGTGGTCTTTGTTCATTGTCAAGTAGTATTTTTTTTTTGTATGCTAATGGGTTTTTATTTAGGGGATATCTTACCCCAAAATAAATTCTACTGTATCCAACTGAATCGGGGGGACAAGGGTGGGATGTCTAGCAATGAGTGAATCAAGGTATTCATATGCCGAGTAGTGATTCCAAGGAATCTCTTGTAGAAGACATTGCCAATTGCATAGCCCAAATGGAGGGGCGCTTCCAACTTGGTCTTGGTAAACAAAGCAAAAGCTGGTTGGTTGTTGTGGTTGTAAGAGGATAGCGTGCCATGCCATCTCGGGTGTAACGTGAGGGAGCTGATGAGTACCAAGGCATCAATCCAGAATACTCGTTTGAATAATAGTCCAAAAACATATGGCGAGAGGTTTCCACTTCACCAAAGCAAAGCTGACAAATCGGGGGTGGGATGTTTCACTGGCATGAGTCGATGAAGGTGTTGAGTTGTCGATAGATGATGGTGGAGAATACGCCACCAAATGGTACGAGACCCATGTGGCATTCGTAGCTTCCAAAACGTTTCCAGTGGTAAGGTGCAATAGTCGTTTCAATGGTGGTAGTGGATGTTTTGGATCGCCAATAAGCTCTGAGTTGTCCCGGCTAACTTTGGTGACAGCAATAGCAGAGGTGGTTGTTGTGGAACGTGAAGCGGGATATTCCTTGATGGTAGACACCATGAGTTCAAATCGGGTAATGGTGGATTGAGCCAAGTGGGTTGTCGGCAGTGGTGTGGGTTTGTAGTGTTGGATGTAACGTCATGGTACCTTGTTCAACGGCTTCGAGAACACGTGCCATTGCTTGTCGAATGCGTGTAGCATATTTGATGGTCAGCTTGCGGTCACGGTTTATCCATCGGTAAACGTTTGAAACGAGGATTTTGAGTGTGGGGAGTGGGGTGGATTCAGGGAGAGCAAGGGTGAGGTTGCGGAAGGGGATGTTGAGAAAATCATAAGGAGAGCTTGTCAATAGGAAATTCAGGTAATCTAGCTGACAATTGAAGGAGGTGTTGGATATGGGGGAAATCGGAACATAAACGAATTAATGGGGGAGTGGAAGAAAAAGTGTGGGTAGATGCATGGTTGACCAGTATACAAATGGAAGAGATGGGCGAGGAATGAGATAAATGGGGATGGGGATTGAAGGCGAATGGTGTAAGACTCGTTGAAGATATACATGATGAAGTGCGAGATGTTGATCCTGAATATCCACCAGGCCCAAACCACCTTGTGAGCGTGGTAAAATAACAAGTTGACCAACTCGATATGGAAAAAATTGCACACATAATTACGAATCAGTGTTTGACACTTGAATCCATGGTTTAGGGACGACACAACCCGTAGTACATGCCACAGCCGAGATAAAAGCAGGAGTTTCCCCAAGAATTCAAGAGAGTACGTTGTTGTAGTAGGTGTAATGAGTCCTTCTGGTGTAAAGCTGCTCAAAAAGCTATCCAAATGTTGATCATGGTGATAGAGGGGGTATCCCAGGTATGTCGTGCTGCTGGAGAAGTACGATCATGCCATTGGGCATTAATCGTGTGTAACATGTGTTGCTATGAGGGATTAGGTTCACCTGAAAGGGAAGTTCACGGTCTTGTTGAGGTTAACTTTGCCATTGACGCCAATTTGTATGTCGTAAGATGTTGTAATAGATATTGCCATTCGGTGGGTGTACGGGTAACACAACAAGTCATCAGCATACGCCAATACTTTGATTGGTGGAATGTGTGGTGTATACAAGTTAGCACGAAAATGGATACGGTGATTCCATTTGGTCATGCTTGGATTAGTCAAAAGATCCTAATAATAAGGTCGATATATGGGTGCGGAGAACAAAGGTTAGAAGGGAGAAGAGCAGGGGTATACAAGGCAGGACTGATTGCATCCACGGTTGAAGACACGGAGAAGATGGCGCTAACCATTAATGGGATAGGAGACAGAGGTGGGAGAAGAAGAGGTGGAGGTGAGGGAATCAATGAATTGAGTAGGGAATCCAAACCTTGTCATTACCTGCCGAAGATAATCCGAATGTACTCTGTCATAAGCTTTTCTGGCCAAGTAACACACCCACTGATGGAGATGATGGAGAGAAACGCCGAACATGATGCACGTTTTGTACCACCCAACCATTGTCTGAGATAAGCTCGTGTTTGACAAAAAGCTAGCCTGAAAAGGGTTGATTAAGCGATGCATGATGGGTTGTAACCGGTTCGCCAACAATTTGGTAAATAGTTTCGCATCCGAATTAATCAATGACAATGGGCGCCAGTTGGCCAAAAAGACGTGGGTCTCCTTTTCTAAACAACAAAACCATGCGAGTTGACAACCACGAACGAGGATACAAGTTAGTAAATAAAGTTGCTTGATTCATCACTAAGAGTAGCAGCTGGATCACCGGTTCCCACGTTTGCATGTGTTTGAGTAATTCAAAAAGGTAAACCATCCATCCCAGGGCTTTTACCCAAAGGTGTGTTCAATGGCTCGAACAAGCTCGTCCCAAGAAAATGGTCACGTAGATTGTCTCCTTGTGTTGCTGTCACTTGCACTGAGGAAGGAATAGAAGATAACATCTTATCAACAGCGGCCTGGGGCAGTCAATCTCGGTAGGGGTATAAAGATCCTTGTAATAGTGACGAGCATGTTGCATTATCCCGCACCCATGGTGGTGAAAGTTCACCGGTGTGGGTCACGGAGATGGTGGATGGTGGTGGCGGCCTGTCGTTGTTTCAACACTTTGAAAAATTACGGTTATTTCGTTCCCCTTCCTCGTGCCATCGGGTTGCTGTTCGTAACAACAATTGCTTGCAACACGTTCTTGAATGTTGGCAATTTCTTTTCAAGAGGTGGCAGTCGTGGGTCTCGAGTACCATGTTGTTGTATGATAACATGTCGACGACGTTGTAAAGTACGAAAGTGTTGTTTGGTGGTATGGCGGTGGCGGAAGCTGTAATCAATAGCTGTTTCCTTTAAACCGCTTTCGAGGTTGTCCCAGCATGCTTGCGGATCCATTTCAATGAGCTCATCATCCAATTGTGTAAAGTACTCCTTCACTGTATCCTGTAACAATAGATCAAATGGAGGTTGGCCCAACAGCAGGGTTAAACGCCAACAGCCAGGGCCGGTGTCCATGCTGTGTATTCGAAAATCCACTGTCAGCATCTCATGGTCAGTCCAAGCACGTGACATGTGCCATTGCTGAGCATTAGAAATCATGGAGTGGAGGTGATGGGCAAAGACGTAGTCCACAGTGGTATGAAGATTGCCCGATGGTATGTAGGTGCTGCCGTAGGAGGAGAAAGCATACCATTGATCTCTGGATACAGCGCAATTGTGAAAGGTTCAACAGAAATTCGCAATCATGCATGGTCTGAGTCTGAATGCAACTTGGTGTGAAGATGGGTGTTGAAATCGCTTATGACAAAGCACGGTTCGGAAAGATCTGTAAAAACAGGGTAAATCAAGGAGGTCGTCGATCCCTTTCAGCGAATGCATAAAGGACCACAATACGACACAAAGCCCCATGTGACGTACAATGGCGGATACAATACAACGTTGGTCAAGTGTCACATAGGTATTGGAAAGTGTGAAGGAGGGGTTGAGGCAAATAAGGGCACAATGTTTAGTGAAGCAAGAAGAGGAATTGGGAAAAAGGCGGTGTGAGAGATGTCTTGGTTAGTAAGTGTTGGAGCATGCGTTTGGGATACTTCCTGTAGAGCGAGTAAATCAATGTTGAGATGCTGTGATCGTAGGTGTCGAACAAATTGATTGTGCCTCTTTTGAATAGCGAGCGAACATTCAGAAGAGGCGAGTCGTGCTGTATTATTTATCATATTATTGGTGATGCTGTGGGTCAGGTGATTCCCCAGCGGATTGTTGTAAACGTTGTTGGCTCATGTTGCGTGACACGTGTGCTGGATGCTGTATCAAGTTTTGGTTTCTTAGGTGTTGGCGTGTGTGCTGTTGATGCTGATCGTGGTCGATAATAGGGTCGTTGTTGTCATTCATTCTATGGTCGTTGTCAACAAGTGTTGAGGTGGTGTCAATGATCATTCGATTGTCGGCGTTGTCGGTAGTTGGATTGCTAGAGTCTTTGGTGACATTGGTGCTCTTCTTATGTTGATCTTCAACATCGGGCTGAGAAGCTGTATCAGTATGCTGATCATTGGTTGAATTGATCTATTATCATCGATGATGGATGAAGGTGCTGTAGTAGTCATCTCCGAATCATGATCATCATCTACAGCTGACGCTGTGGTTGGGTACGTGTCAAGAAGCTGAGAATCGGTCAATGAATCCACCATGGCAGCTGGCGTTCACGGTATACAACAGACAATGTCGATGAAATGGCCTTTTTGGTGGCAGTGGAAGCAAGTGAGTTCTTGAAGTTTGGGGCATTCTATCTTGCGTGATGACCTGAGTGTTGCAATAACGGCAAAGAGGAGGTGCGTTTTTCCATGAGGCAGGGAACACATCATCCCAAACTTCACGATAGCAATACGTAACTGAACGAAGTACACGAAGTG